AAGTGAAATGGCCCAGCGTTTGCTTCGATCACACCTGCGGCAGAGCCTCCCCACGCCCTCCCCGCAGTGGCTCTTAGAGGCTGCTGTGCGTACCACCACCCAACGCTGGCATTGCAGGAAGAATGAAAAGGAAGTGCAAGAGTTCTGTATCTCCGGTCAGAGATCCCGGGAACGTGTGAGACACAGTGGCAAGTCCATTAATAGGGTCTGGGGCAGGATGAAGGCCCAGGCAGGAAGTGGGTACATTTGCCGCTTCCTTTTCCCAGATTCAGTTGCAGGGTTTCCCGAGTTGGGGTCTCTCCCAGGTGCAGGCCTCCTTGCTGTCCCCCCATGGTAGGGGCAGAGCACTTCAGTGGAAAGAGCTCTGACCAGTCAGGGGGTCCCAGTTCTCATACCAGCTGCCTGTTGGCCCACGTTCTACGGCCACTCTGAGCCTCAGTTTACTTGCCCCCTTCTCTTGGAGCCCAAGGCATTTTAACTGACACTCGAGCCCATTTGTCACTATGTCCTCATAACTTCTTGCCAACTAGCGTGGGAGCTTCTAGGGCCACATGAGTCTGATGCATCTCCGTGACCCACCCCCAGGAAATGGGGCTGGCCGGACGCCTGAGGTCAGCATCCAGAATATGTGTGTGTGGGTGAACGTGACTGCATGCGCCGACACATCCTTTAGCCTCGAGGATTTGTTCTTCCCTGGTCTTTGTGCTCCACGTGCGACACGGAGGCACCACTTCCGAGCTCCTTAGGATGGTGGGCAAGCTCAGACCCCCTGGAGCTCTGGAATCAGACTCTGCTGCTGTTTCCACTGCTGAACAGCTTTGCAAGTGGCTTCACCCTTTTGAGGTGTAAGTGGAGCCACTGATGGCCTTTCCTGTGAGGGGTCCAGGGTTACCTGAACTAATACAGGTGAAGGCCAGCTCCCCCACGTGGCCTTGTGTGGCTTCGATTATTCCCATTTCACCGATGAGAGAAGTGCAGTCAGTGGCAGAGTCATGATTTGAACCGGGTTCTTTCAAACCCTGTTTGTTTACCTCCAGTGGACAGGAACATGATCACTGTGAAGAGAGCCCTGGGCTGGGGTTAGGAGATGTGGATTAGCCACCAGCGTGGTCTTGGGCAGGTCCTGCGTCTGTGCTGGACCTCTCTTTTCTCCCCTGTAAATGTAGGACGTTGGAAGAAGTGTTGATCTGTCAGGGCCACCCAACAAACAAGTGACTGCCAGCAGGTGCGGTTCTCACCAAGTTTCCAGTGGGACCCCCCCCGCCCCAACTCCAGTTTAGCCCAGTACTTTGTGCACCTCAGATGTCTGCTCCTACCGCCTGGCTCTGTGGCATGCTGGGCAAGGGGGTTAGGCACTTCCCGAGACAGAAAGCCTCCAAGGCCTAAGTAGAGCTGCACTCGGAGGCTCTTTCTGGCTAAACAGGCTTCCAGACACCCCTGTTTTCGGTTCTTCTAAAGCTTTCAGCAAGTAGAGGCCAGGAAGGCCCCTGGAGCCGTCCTACGTGGGAAAACTCATCAGTATTATCAGCGTAATGACTCCCTCCCACCTTGATCCTTTCCACCTGCCTGCCAGATCTGTTCAGAATTTGGGGAAGAGAAAAGCCAACATCTCAACAAAGATCAAGATCCTTTTTTTGGTCTGCCTTCTCTGTAGCCTTTTGACCAAGTGAGTAATGAGCTGAAAAGACCATAAGGTCCATTTTCTCTATACCTATCTGTTAGTCTCTTTTTGAGCATGCAGGATGCCAGAGAAACACCTTTTATTGGCCCACTAAACCAAAAGGCAGCAAATTCCGTACCTCCTTGTGGAGATGGGAACACGTCTGTCGTCCTCTTAACAGAAGCAAACATTTCAAACGCAGGACCTGTTCTCTGCTCCTAAGAACGTGCCAAGTGTGCACGGTCCCTCCCTGTGCCGTTACATGCCGTCTTGAGGACAGAGTCCAGACGCAGATGTAGTGGCAGACAGCTGCAGGCCGAGTGGAGGTAGCAGAGACACGGAGGATGGAGCTTTGGGTAGACATAGCGGACCACTGGGAATTGGTAGACTTCTGGCTCCATGGAAGAAAAGCTTTCTGGCTCGTAGAGCTCCCAGTAGTGCTGGGGGCCATGCAGTGCTGGGAAATACACAAGCAGAGCCTGGGCAACACCCCCCTGGGGTGGGAGAGGAGCCCCGTGCCCTGGGGACGTGAACGCTGAGCATCTGTGTCCGTCTTGAGATCATGGTGGGGTTTTCTGTTTGGGTAACTGGCTGGCCTGGTGTGAGGGTTCTCTTGTCCTCAGTATTCCAGAGCCTGGCTCCAGGTCACAGGGGAGACTTCTGAGATGCTGCTCCCTCCCTAGCTTAACAGCCTACTACTCCCCGCCTCTCCCCGCTGGCCAGAGAAGTTGCTGGGGCCTCACTGACCAGCCACGTTCCCGGCTCTTAATACTCACTGGCCGTTTGTCTTGAGGCACCTGCTTTGAGGCAAACCTATGCCACATCTGCTCATTCAGGGACCAATCACCAGAGTCCATCCAGAAGCTTCTGAGGGAGGTAGGGAGGTGAAGCACACATACCAGCCTGCCCTGTGAACCTCTGGGGGCCCAAGCAGCCATAATCCATGGCCAAGAGATGGCTTAGAATGGCCCTCCAAGACCCAGTTTCAAGAATTGGCCCTCAGCAAGGACTGCCATCGATTGAGGCCCCCTGTGGGTGTCACACACTCTTCGGTGCTTTGCATACATTTTCGGCAACCTGTCATTGAGTCAGCCTGCTTGCCTCCCCTGGCTAACGGGGGCACAGGTGTGGGGGACCTGCCCAGAGACACACTGCTCTCTCTCAAGGACTGTATGTTACCCGTGAGGGCCATGAGGGTTGGAGGGAGGAGGCGCTCCCTTCTTGCCAAGAGCTGGGAAAAGAGCTGGGCCTTTTGCCCCCTCTTGGCAACTGGACCTCACCCTTGAACCCTTCTCTTCCGTTCTTTTTATTTTTCTTTTTTTGGGGGGTTGGCTTTGAATTCTCTTATTTTGTTTACATTGCACCCAAGTTTCATGGTACAAAAGACTTGCAGGTGCAAATATGTCCCGCCTTCATTAACTTCCCCTCCCTTTTTAATTTATGTGATTTCAATTTTCCTTCCCTGTACTGTTAATTAGGGGACCCTCTAATCAGTGCCATTATCACAGTGGTATTCATGTTTAGGAAAGCCGCTAAACAAATGCTTGCAAAATTGCTAAATGGCTAATTAATGTCTGTTAATTAAGAAAATTGCTCATGGTAACAAACCATGCCGTTGCTGGCAGCCGCTAGAAAGACACACACTTGTTGAAATTAGTAGCGTGGCAGGTAGGGGAACATCTGCTCCGCGGAGCTCTTCGGAAGTGAGCAGCCCCTCGCTTGGCCAGGAAACTCCAGGCCTGTCCTCGGTGGCGCCCCCGGGTTCCTGTATGCCTCCTGCAGTCTTTTTCTGCACACCTCTTCTCTGCGTCCCCTGGCCCTGCTGGCTGGTACCAGCCCCTCCACCCCTCCCCAGCCCCAGCCTGGTTTCCTGAGCAGGTGGGAGGCTGGGCAGCCTGGCTTTCAGGGAAGAGACTGTTGAAGAAAATCCTACCTGCATCTCAGAGATTCTCTCTCCCTCTCTTCTTTAATGTAAAGCCCCCCCCATTCCCCTGCCTGAGGTGTTGAATTTTCTGCCAAAATATTCAGTATTGCGTGGAGAAGAGACAAGTAGGGTATGCTTCTCATCACCAGCACCGGAGTCCAGCTCTGAATGTTCTGAGCAGGCAGGAAGGAGCCTCCAAGATGAGTTTTTTGTGCTTTGTGACGGACCCGCAGGAGGAGATACATTGGACATTTATACACACGCGTGTGTATAAATGTAAAAAGCAGTTCGTGAAAAATACTTGACTTTGTATACACAGAGTTGTTCGATATTTTCTATTATTTTATCCTGTTCCAGATATTTAGAAAACAATGGTTGTAACCCACTAAATTGATTACCACTACTCGGGTTTTGCAGCCCACAGTTTGACCAACCCCGTGGCTTAAGTGAACTCATCTCTTCATCTCTTCTGGGGGGAGTCGAGGTCAGCATAGCCCAAGGCTTCCGGGGTCAGCTCGGAACCATAGGTGGCTCACTGCCCTCTAGACCGGAAAGCCCAGCCCCTCCACCCATCAGGGACTTCCAGCCCCATCCCGCTGCTCCTCTGCCCATGTCTGCTTCAGCTCAGGGCTGCAGTGGTCGGCATTTTGGGTGAGCAGGGCTTCACCCATCCCGGGCTTCCTGGCCACCTACCAGTTGTGTGGCTGTGGCCAAATCCCTTCGTCCCTTGAGACCCAGTTTCCCACGCCTGGTAAAGAAGAATGAAAGCCCCGACCTCATGGGGCCATTTCCAAGTGAAGGTGAACTAACAGTGCCCTGGTCCGTCCTGTCGTTCCCTTGTCTGTCTGTTCTGAGACTCTGACTCCTCTATTCTAGACATCCATCAGGCCCCCTTCCTCTAGACTGGCCTAGGAACCTGCACTCTGTCTCTGTGCCCCCTTCTTCCCCAGACTGGAGCTCCCCAGGGCCGGGACGGCCTCACCCGGTTCGTCCCCACTCCCTTGCAGGCTTTGCAGAGGGGTCTGCTGTTTCGCGGCGCATCACTCTCTCTGAGCCCACAACCAGCGTATTTAACATGGCAAACTCCGCTCCATCCGTAGCCTGCGTCCGGGCCCCTGCTCCTGCGTGCTTTGACAAAGGAGCTGGGTTTTATCTTCCACCCCTGGAACACCCCCCCCCCCACCGTGAGGGTGTTCATCGCTTCTCTCCTCCACATCACAGACACCGGGTACGCGATGGGGCCTGAACCTAACGGCTTCATACCTCCGCCAAGCAGAGCCGCCAGACTTCCTGCCAACTCATGGCCTGCCTGCACGCCTGCCCGCTTCAGTTTTGGTTTAATTTTTGTTCTTTTAAGCTTCTGCGCTTCTCCATGTGCTGTGATCTATAACCTGCCTCTGCTGTCTGGCCTCACAGGGTCCTCCGGGGTCACAGCCCTCGCCGCACGCACAGCCTCCACCTCACAATCCCAGCAGCATGATGGGACCCCACAGTCAGGTAAAAGCGCTGTGGCTCGCCCGCCCGCCGGGGGGCGCGGGGCACAAGGAGGACAGAGCCAGCAGAGGAAAAACAAAAATCAAAATGTGCTCTAGCCATTGCTTTCGAGTCTTGACTGACGAATGAAATTTTAAAAACAATAATAATAAAAAAATAAAAATCTCCCCCCCCTAAAAGATAGTCTTCATTCCTTGGACATCACACCCAGCTTGGATATGAAACCAAAAGAAAATCTATTTCTGTGACCTTGTCAGCGGCCTTTGCGTTTTTGTTTTTTCCTCTCTCACTTTTGGTTTGGTTTTTGAGTTTGGTTAACCATTTGTTTGTAACCGAAGCTGCATCCCTAGCCTTTTCTGTGTGCACTCTCGCTGCTGAGAAAGCTTTCCTCCTGCCCATTGCCCTGCACAAGTTAGGGAGCCCGCTGTCCCCTGACCGTTCTCATTGTGTTCCCCCGCCTTAAATCCTCGCTCCCCTTCCCCACCCCCTTTGTCAGTGGTTTCTGTGTGTGTGTGTGCGTGTGTGTGTGTCCAGCTTTGTCTGCACACCCTGGGAATTTTACGTATAAGTCCCTTTCTGATTTCATTTGCCCGTACCGAGAGCGGCGGTTTCCTCCTTTGCCCCGCACTGATGTACCTGCTCTTCCGCGTCCTGTGCAAAGCCCCAGCCACGCTATCCTGCCACCCAGAGTAGACCTCCGTGAGCGGATGCGGAGTCAGGAGGCACCTATGCCATGCACGTCGTTTGTTCCCTCTGCCCAAAGGAAGTTTTGCCCAGAGGGAAGAGGCCACCGGGGAGAAAGAGAGTTTAAAAGATCACTAGTTGTAACAAAACTGGACTTTGTGGAGTGGAGCGCATTTGTGTTTGGCCCTGTGCGGTAGTGCAGGCTGTCATTGAACTAATTCCCTGTAATTGCAGCCTTTTATGTCACCGCGATACGCAGGCGGCCCCAGGCCCCCGATCAGAATGGGAAACCAGGTACTGTATCTTTTCATGTTCTCTCTCCCCTCACTCAGCCACCCTTGACCTCAGCCGGACTTTGACCCAAATCAGAATTTGGGGGAAGGGTCGGGAGCTGGAGGCACAAGCTTCAATGCAGGAGGTAGCTTCCAAGCAGGTCCCCAGAGAGGGCCCTGTGTCCACTTTGTGTCCGTGATACAGCTCCCCACTCCCAGCACTTCATTTGCCTCTCCTGGTGGGCTTTGGGCAGCCGGTTCTGGAGCTCAGGGGGCAGCCCCAGAAGCAGCCATGTTTGGGAATGCAGGGTTTCAGCTATTCTAGAGAAGGTGGTAATGCCCCTGCCCCTCCCTTCCAGCCCCTTCTTGGAAAAGGGTCTTCCTCCTTAATGAAGTTAATTGACAACGTGCATTTTTTCCTGGAAGCTTTTGAGAATTGCCAAGGCTGGTAAATATAATCCTGCTATTAAGGGGAGAAATGGCCCGTAGGAATGCTTAGATCAGGAGCCCGGATGCAGCGGAGCAGGACATTTGTGAGGTTTTAAGCAATGTCTGCCTGTTTCCCAGACCCAACTCAAAACAAGAAAGGATTTGTTCGTGTAATTAGAAAAGTGGTCTGCTTATGGGAGGGCTTCTCAGCCTGGGGTTGTGTGCCTTATGCTGGGCCATTAGGGTTGGCAGTTCTAGGTGGTCTGGAGAAATCGGCCCCCGTGCCACCCTCCCTAGTTCAGCTCATCCAGGGGCGGGAGGGGAGCTGGAGAGGTAAAGATAAAATACCTTTTGAGGATTGACAGATTTAAAAGAAACTTAAAAGAAACATCAGTGGGATTTCCTTTCATGCCGAAATATTTTTACGTGTGACTCTTAGAGTGACCTTACAAATGCCCTTCAAAAGATTTGACCACATCACCAGCACATCCAGCCCCTACAGCCTTTGGAACTTGGGAGTTCAGTTACCCACTGGAGGGGCGCTATTTTTACTGTTACTCAAGGCTCTGCAAGAAAGCCCCTGAGTGCGGTGGTGGAGGCTGAGGAGAGATGCTTGTAATCAGGGGCCTCCAGTTTTAGGGCTGAATTGCTTATCAGGTTTCCAATTATTTTTTTCCCCTCCAAACATCTTTTGTTTCCTCTTTCTCTGACATGAAGGGGAGATGTAGACCGGAATTAGAGACCCAACTTTTTGAGCAAGGTGGGACACTTGGGTGTACCTCAGATGAGGAAACAGGTCAGAGTGAAGAAGTGACTTCCCAGAGTCTTCCAGTAAGCTGGGATTAAGTTGGTCTGCAGCTCCTAGCCCAGTGCTGTTTCCTCTGCACCTCGCCCAATTCATTTAGCTTTCAGGGGTGTAAAAGTGCTGCCCCGGTCACCAAGTGGGCCTCCTCTGCCATCATGTGCATGGGCCCGAGCAGCGCCGTACCGCCCCACCCCCACCCCCACCCCAGCACATCCAGAGGAGGCTCTCCTTGGCCAGAACTGGCCTCCGCCCCATGGAGAGAACAGATGCTTCCTTATCATAATTGTGGCCTTTCCTCCAGCAATTAAGGGACACGAGAGGAAACATGTATGTTTCTATTTATCAATTAAGCATGAGCAAGTACCCAAGAGAGCAAATGGAGGATAAATCCGTCATCTGCACCTCGCATTACAAACCAATTGTCCCAACCTTCCCGCCACCCCCCATCGGAAATCTACACTGATTTTCCGGTTTCCTGTGGGCTCAAGAAGGGTTTGCCCTCCGAGGGGGGACGTGCCCCTGTCACAGGTGTTGCACCTGGGTTTCGTGGAGAGTGCCTTGCTTGGGGCTGCAGGTTGAACAGGAGCCTCTGTGCCACCCCAGTGAGCCCTCCCCTGTGGCAGGTAGAGGAAGCAGAGGCAGCGGGACTTGGTCAGGTACATGTGACCTCCTACGTTAGGGCAATGAGAAGGGCACGCAAGGGGACAAGAAGCCAAGGATTGATGACCTGTCCTTACAAGCCCACTCTCCTAGCTGCCTTCCTGGCTACAGGTTCGGGGTTGTGTATAGAGAGAGCACTGGTGTTTTTCAAGCGAGAGCGGGTGGGTGGGTGGTGGTCATTGGGGTTCAGCTGGGCTTAGGAAGACTGAGATCGGATGTGTCAGGCAGCCCTCCCGTACATGTCCCAGAGGAGTCCCCGCTGGCGCGGTGGCCGACTGGGGCAGGCCAGCTGAGTGACCGTGCACACGCTGCTGGGATTTGTGTATTCCCCAGGCAGACACTTGCTTCCTGTCCCTGCCCCGCGGTGCTGTACGAGAGGCACTGGCCTACTTCTAGGAGCCCGGATGACAGCCCCGGAGCGGCACTTTCCCTAGCAGGCTCCGAGAGTGTGTGCTCAGCATGTGCTTACAGTCCCATATATGAGCTGTTACTTTTCTTCCTTCTTACATTTGAAGGCTTCGGCCTTCTTGTGTGAGACCCTTTTATTTCAGTCATTGCACATCACCCTTCTCTTGGAGAGGAGGCTAGACTGCCCTGTCCTCAGTTCAGGGTCCACCCCAGTGAGAGGAGGAGGAGGGAAATGACGCCCAGGCTCCCGCCGAGCCTCTGGGCAGCCCTGCTCTGCTCCTGAGTCCTGACACGGCAGGATCAGGGGAGCCCAAGGAGGAACTTCCTTTGAGAATTGCTGGTGTTGACACTGGGCTACCTGGTGAGGGAGCGATTGCCGGCCCCCATGGCTGCTCCATCAAGGTTAGGTGGGGGCATTCTATGACCTGGAGGGTGCCCCGTCTACCTCAGCATCCTGGGGTCCCCCAAACCAGAGAGCCTCAGAGGCAAGCAGGTCTCTGTCCTCTCAGAGTCCTGTAACTGGGGTCTAGAAATAGCCCAAACCCCAAAGTGGGGCAGACACAAAACCAGTCAAATGATTGAGAGCTTGGGAACCGGGGGAAAGGAAGTAGGGCTGGGAGAGAATGAGAGGTTGGAAGAGCTGAAATCCCAGGGGTAGAGAGACAGACAGTGGAGACAGCAGGCAATCCCAGGTTTGTATGGCCTCCCGCAAGCACCCCCACCCACTAGACAGACAGACACACACACACACACACACACCCCTTTCTGAAGCTTGGGAAAACAGCGAGAGCTTGCCCCTTTGTTTACCACCACCTCACCCACAACTGGTTTAGAGCTTGTTCTTGGGCCAAAGGCACCCAGTTCCCCACTCAGACATCCCCCGGCAGTGGTGAGGGCTGAGGCTGGAGGGGACAGGCGTTCCTATCCCAGATGCTAACCCAGAGAAGCATCGGCACGTGCAGATGGGAAAAGGTGGTCAGCGTTCACAGAGGCTTTCCTCTCAAAGGCAAGGGCCTGTGTTTAGTCCTGAGGCAGAGGCTTCTAGAAGCAGACTTTTCCTTCCAGCTCTGCTTCCCTTTTTATTTTTTTCCCAATTGCAGCTGAAATAACTCCGGTCCCAAGTAAATCACTTGTAACAGGTTTTCACAGCAAGCATGCCAAGCATTCGCTTGGGAAACCCGTGGCACCCTGTCCTCACCTTCTTAACAGTAATCACACCGGCACCTGCCACTTGCACCAGGCTTTGGGGAGCAGGCTCTCATTCAGCATCCTGCTCGCCCCTCTCTGGGAGGCCTCCTCTAGCCCCCCAGGGGTCGGAAGGGGACATTTCATATGCTGGGTAAAGACAGGGAGTTGGGAGCCTGAGTGCTCCTGCTGGCTCTGCTAGTTGATGACTGGGGGCAGTTGGGCCTGTGGACCTCAGTTTCCCCTTCCAAATCTCAAAGGCTGGCTCTGCCTTTGCTCCCTTCTTAGTGTTAGGATTTTTAGCTGGTGGCTCTCTCGGTCCCCACACTTTGGGGGAGGGGGTGGGTGAGTTACATCTCCATGGGGTGAAAGAAAGACAGGGTTTGGCTTAAACCATGGTGGCTGGGGTTCGGGAGGTGAGGATGGGAGGCATGTGGCCGTGGAGGGGTGTATGGCAGGCGGTGCAGCCAGGGTGAGGCTGAGCTCCGGCAGGAACACAGACACGTGGAGACAGCAGGGTGTGATGGTTCCTGTCCCACCCACGCTGCACCTTCTACTGACGCCAGCTCCAGCCACCTGCTGCTCCTGGAGATCCCCCCGCCCAGCCCCAGCCAGCAGGTCAGGGAGGCCGTGGGTAGCCCCAGACGGGCAGTGGAGAACTGGGGCAGGCTGGCACATCTCCCTCCATCCCCCAGCCGCTCAGCACGGGCCTCACATCTCTTTCAGCCTCCAGGAGGAGTTCCTGGGACCCAGCCACTGCTGCCCAATTCCATGGATCCCACCCGACAACAAGGTAGAGAGAGCCGGGCGGGGCGGCCCACGGCCTGGGGAATCTGTGCTGTCTGCCCCTGCCACCTCACGGTTTATCTCCTCTCTCGTGCAGGGCACCCCAACATGGGAGGATCAATGCAGAGAATGAACCCTCCCCGAGGCATGGGACCCATGGGGCCTGGCCCACAGGTAACCACCCGTCTGTCTGTCCATCTCCCTGGCCATCTGTGTGCACCCGCCTACTCTCCTCTTTCCACAGTCTGTCAGTCCTTCCACGTCCCTCAGCTCACAGGGGTGAGGGGAGAGGACATGGCCAGGTTCCCAGCTGCCCTCTCTGTCCACGGCTGGGCTGGCCCCATGCGCAGACAGGAGCAACCCCTCCTTGGCAGGCGGCAGGCCGAGTTGAGGGGCCCCCAGGGAGCTGCGGGAGAGGGGCAGCCGGGAGCCTTCTGGTTGGCAGATCCTCCCTTGGGGGAGGGAGTTGAGGAATTTGGAAGGTGGAGGGTCTGGTCCCCGAGCAGCGGTGTGGGTCCTCCGGGAATCCCAAAGCCCCCTACCCTGGGTAGGTGAACTTGAGCTAGCTCAGGGTCATGGTTGGTTATGACCCAGAAGTGGGACAAACGAGTGGCAGTCTTAGCTCTGCCTGCAACTCACCATTTGTCCTTGGGTGAATCATCTGACCTCGGTGGGCCCCAGCAGGCCTCAGTTCCCGACCGGTGCAGTACGAGGGGAGGAATGTATCTATACCCATGGCTCTCAGCGATGCTATCCCAGCTGAGAGGAGGCCAGGCCGGCCAGGGCCTCTAAGACCCACTTCAACCCAGAGCTTCTACTGGTTTCATGGACTAGGCTCATAGGTAAGATTTCTTCTGACCAGAGGGGTTCCATTGTCATAAAGGACACCTCAGAAACCTCTGGAAGAACTTCTGTCAAGTGCCCGGTCTACTTCTTTACAATTACAGCCCAGTGGTCTCTCCTTGTGACCCAGTTCCCTGTTCCCCAGGACCATCGGGCAGAGGTCTGACAGGCCATTCCTGGTCTAGAACCTCATCACAGTTGGTTCCTATTCTTCTGACCATTTGAATGTGGCTCTGTCCCCTGTAGTAGCTGTGGCAGAGAGTGTGCTGATCTGTCTCAAAGAAGCTGGGAGTCTGAATAAGAAGGGAGTTTGATTTAGTGAGGTGGGGACGGTTTTGTCGTAGGGCGTTGCTTCCCTTTTCTGCCCTGCCTGGAAGCCCGCTTGTCTCTTCCCCGCTCCCTGCCTGCAGATGTTTGCATTTTCTGGGCCCCTCCCCAGGTTTCCGGTTCCCTGGAGGAGGAGGAGGAGGAGGAGGAGTGCTCCCGCTCACAGACACGTGCCCCGCTTTTGTAGCGAGAGGTGCCTGCCCACACCCACAGTCCTCCGCTCCGTCTGGAGTTGTATTTACAGCACACCCAGCCCACTGCCTTCCTCTCGGGGATGGCTGCAACCTCTGTGGTGCTGAAAAATGTTAGGGAGGTCCTTGGCTTCTCTTGGCCCCACAAGCTCACACCAGTTGCGCCTCTGGTTTTCTCGTTTGTTTGTTTGTTTTTTCTTTCCTCAAATCCTTCAAAGCTTGTGTTTTCCCCAGTTCCTCCTAAGCCCCCAGAGAGTGGCCCCTTCCGGCCATGTGGCTGTCTCCAGCTGACCTCTGCAGGGCGGGTGGGAGGGGCAGCAGGGTCTGAAAGCAGAGCGTTCCATCCCCGGAGTCAGGAACCTTTGGGTCCTTCTGCGGCACATGAGAGTTACTCTTGGGGTAGATAAGCAGTGACCTTGGACTTCCAGAACGTCCTGGGGGACCTGGGGACACAAGAGGATGGAGTGGGAGGCAGGAAAACGCCATGCCTATGCCCCCACGCGCCCCTCTGGGTCTTTGGAGGCTTAGCCGCCGCGTCCATCAAATGGGGAAGAGACCAGTATCTGCCATACAGAACTGTTCAAATGGGGAGGCTCGGGTTCTCAGTGTGATGCTTGGCATGAGGTACCCTTAATAAGAAGTGTGTGTTTTCCAACTTAGGGGCTTAAAATCAGTGTTTAGGATTCTAATTGTGCGGGTTTGATGACTGCTTTGAGCTGTTTGTGTTTTGTTTTTTTTTAATTTTTTTTCTGGCCAAGGCCATTAGCAGTTTGTTAAGCCTGTAGTAATATTGAGATTCTGGAAGCTGGGAATGGATGTCAGCAGACTGAGAACAGAATATTCTGTAAGTTTAGGACTTCCTCCTGGCTTAGCGGGCGTCTCGTCATGTCAGAGTCTCTGACCAGCAGTCTGGCTTACTGTTGTGGCATGCTTTAAAGAGGTGAGAGTGCTAAAGACTGGGGTCTTACCAGAAAAGGCCTCTCGGGTCCAGTGTGGCTCTCCTGGCTTCACCAAAGGGTGTGCAAGGGCAGAGCCCTCCCATAGGCCCTGACAGGCACGCCCAGAGCCGAGGGAGATACTGGCCCAGGGCAGCTGACCCACCCCCCTCCCCACCAACCACAGGGGTTCTGGAAATGTCTCTCTTGTTCTTTATTTGACTTTATTGTATCAATAGAGAGACCCCAAAGTGCTTTGCCCAAGTCTCCTGTACCCCTCTGGGTAGAGTGCAGTCTGAAATTCCAGAGCCAGAGCTCCCTTAGAGCAACCCAGAACGTCTGCACCAGATGGAGGTAGAAGGGCTGGCCTGGTGTGGGACAGGTTTTGGGGTCAGCCAGGGAGCAGGCACTGCAGAGCCTAGAAGCTTTGGACCCCAAGGCTGAGGGCAGGACCGCTATACCTCCTGACCCCGGCCCTTTCTGTGTGTCCCCTGAGGGTCCTGTCTTGTTCACTCCCAATGGACAGGAGAGACATGAACTCAGAACCTAGTGCTGGAAAACACGGTTCCAGCCACAGCTCAGCCTGGTTGGGCCTCTAGTCCCTCATCTGCAAAATGGACAGCCTGGTGATCACCTCGTGAGGTCCACTGTAGGTTTGGTAGAAACAGCATGAGGTACCTGCAGGGTGTCTCTTCCTAGAATAGGGGCTCAGGGAGGGGGTCCTGCTTCTGCCACAGCCTGGGATCTTAGAAAACAAGGCCAGCCCCTCAGGCAGCCTTTAGTAAGTACCACTGCATGCACAGTGCCGTACTGAGACCAAACACAGATGGGAAACCATCAGCCTGTTATTCCAAGTGGAGAATAAGAGTGCTAATAGCCAGTGACCACTCCAGAACTTTCTGAACAAAGAATAGGTACAGTGTAGTCTTGGGGCTACTTTATAGATTTCAAAGCTGGACGGAGTGACATTTGTTCTTTTTGAGCCTGTGTTACATTTTAGCCTGAACGTCACAAAGGAACCAGCACACCAGGCATCGGTTTGCCCTGTTCCCTGAGCGTGTCAGACAGATTTTACTCTGATTTTGTGAAAGGGCCAGTGCCGAAAAGGAGGTAATATATCCACTTAGTTATAGTCTTTCTTTAAAGAACTGTGTCAGTATCAGATGGGAACGTTCTGGCTAAGTTCTTCAGGAGTGACTTCTGTTGATGTGAGGCTAAATCTGCAAGGGCTGCCGGCCGGGCTCCCGTGGACAGAACACAAGGCCCCCTCAGAGGTGCTGTGGCTCATACACCCCGTGGGTACCAATTACCTTCGTTGCTGGTATTCAGGCTGGGGGGTGGAGCCAGCACAGGCTAGCATCAGATCGCCGTCCTAGCTTGTCTGCATTTGAGAAGGTTCAGATGAAGGATAGCCCATGATCTCAGGGACAGTTCTGTGCCACCCAGAAGAAACCGCATCTCCCTCCCGATCCAGGATAGCCCGGCTCTTTGTGGCTACTGCCTGGGGCCCCGGCAAGAGGTGGAAGGATCATAAACCAGGCTAGAGGTGTGAGGGACTGCGTGAGGAGAAAGTGGGGCCTCTCGACACTTCCCAACGGGGGGCCCGTACAGGCCCCTGCTGCCCAGGAAACTACCCCATCAACCTGTCCTAAAGACTGGAATGTTCTTCCCCTACTTTAAGGTGAAGGTGGCGCTGGGCGGGCTACGGGCAGCACCGAGGAAGAGCCCCTCTGGAAGTTGCAGGAAGAAGGAGCAGGTCCCAGCTCTGCCAGCTGCCCAGTGCTTTCCTGTGTCCAGAGCTTGATGCCTGACCCAAGGTCCCCAGCAGGGAGGCCCTTCCTTGTTCCTGCAGGGCCTTCTGCCCAGCATCCAAGTGGGGATGAGAGTGAGGGTACAGGAGGAAGGGGACCACCCCCATAGATGTAGCCAGCCCCATGCTGCCCCGAGGATCCCTCCCAGGCCTCCAGCTGTCCCTGCAGAGCCATGCGGATGGCAGAGAGGGAGGGAGCATCTGGCTGGTGGTCACACCTTGCAGTCCAGTGCTGTGGGCAGGCGGACATTGAGGGAAGAGAACCATTTCTGTGGAGTGTCTGAAACCATGCTTCCAAGCCCTCTATGAAAGGCTGGTGTTTTCCCCAAAGTTGACAGTCAGCCCTGCTTTCACCCCTGACTTACTGTGCACCTTTGAGCAAGTCTTTGGCTGCTCTGGGCCTCTAGCTTGTCATCTTTGAAATGGGAAGGTGTAAGTGGCCCTCGAGGGTCTGGGCCTGTAGGAGGGAGGATCTGGTGGGCAACCCTCCCTTCTCGGGAAGCGCCGGGCTGGCTGTTGGGGAGGCTCTGGAAGGTGGGGTAGACGGAGGAACAGCAGCTGGCACACCAGCGCCTCCCCCGAGGGGCCACACGCCGCATGTGCGGGCGTGGTTTGGGAGTGAGCGCTTGGCTTGTCCTCTCCCCTCGCCCACTCTGTGCCGCAGCGTCCCAGGCTCCTCCAGCACCCAGGCCAGCCTCTACTGGCCCTGCAGCACCAACCGCTCTCCTGGGCGGGATGCCGCAGGATGCAGCGGTAGCCCCTGGAAGGGATCTCTGGCTGGAAGTTGGCCAGGCCGTACACTGTGGGAGCGTGGGCTGCCTGGGGAGGGGGCAGGCTTCCTGTCCTGCAGCGGTGGAGGCGAGGCCGAGATTCGTGTAGGGGCTTAGGAAGGGCCCTTTAAGACCTGAGGTTCCGTGACGCTTAAGGCGGCATTAAGGGCTTTGGTGTTCGTTCTGCCGCTGACATCCCAAATCATCACACGCCTCCGAGAGCCGACAGAGAGCGCTTCAAAGCCGCCATTTCATTTGATCCTCCCAGACCTGTAAGGTTGGGAGCCCTCTGTCCCCATGGTACAGGTGAGGGAGCACAGCGGAGGGTGGCAGCCGTGAAGCCGGGGCCAGGCCACGGGCCTTCAGCCACGGGGTTGCCTTGCACGTAGCTGCGTGAGGGGCCGTCACTTTGCTTGTGCGCCGCAGTGTTTTAATCTTTAAAGCGGACTCGTGATGGGGCCGTTGTCATTACTGAGCCCGCTGTGCGGCCTGGCCAGGAGTGAGCACTGGGGTCACTTGTGCGGTTTGCCCAAAGTCACTCACGTGTGCCCAGCCTGGGGCTGGCTCTCCTGTGCTCTGACCTCAGATCTGGCTCCACCTGCCAGCCTGTGCCATTGTCTTTAAAGAGGGCCTGGCTCCTGCACGTTTCCGGAGCTCACTCTGGGGATGCGGGACTGCCTGAGGACCCCTCTGTGGCCACCCTCGTCTCCCTCCTCGATTCTCTGCCACTTGGCCTGGTGCCGCCCCTGTCACTGTCTACACCCCATCTGCATATTCTCTTAGACTCCAATCCCCTGTCAGGGTGACCAGGCAGAGGAGATGGCCCCACAGCCGGTCCTTGGCTGGAGGACCTGCCACCAGCATGATGTTGGCTCTGAGCTTTTCAGCTCTGGCTCTTGGGCCTCCTGTGCCGTTCCTCTCCCCACCCCGCCTTTCACCAGACGTGTGGGGAGAGTGTGGACCTAGAGGGGTTTTTTGGCTTTTTTTAAATGTTTGTTTATTTTTGAGAGAGAGCACAAGTGGGAGAGGGGCAGAGAGAGAGGGAGACACAGAATCTGAGGCAGGCTCCAGGCTCCGAGTTGTCAGCATGGAGCCCGATGCAGGGATCGAACTCACAAACTGTGAGAGCATGACCTGAGCCGAAGTCGGACGCTTAACCGACTGAGCCACCCAGGTGCCCTTGTAGATCCAGGTTTAAACCCCAGCTGGGTCATTGGCTTCCTGACTTTGGGTGGATCTTCCTCCCCTCAGACCTTCAGTCTCCTGTAAAGTGGGAATAACACTAGTTTCGTGGCAGTGTTAAAAGGACAAGCCAGAGACTGTATGTAAAATGTGTTATGTGCTCAGGTAACACTGGCTGTCCCTTTGCCGTCAAATTTTCACCGACCTTACTTCTTTCAGATTCTACAAAGGCAGAGTTTAACCAGCCCAACCAGCCCAGTTTTACTTCCTGTTCATTTACTCGTTCACTCCTTCATTGATTCAGCACCCAGTCTGTGGCGGCTGGTACGTGGAGTGATGCATGCACGAAAATCATTGAGATATAGTCCCCACCTTCCAAAGGTACTCGGAGCCTAGTGGGAGAGATGGACACGTGGCCACGATCATAGCCCAGTGTGGTACGGGCTGTGGCAGGGGTAGGAGGATTACAAGGCATTTGGGGAGTGACTAGGGTGAAGCAATTAACCCTAAGAGGTGGGCAGGGAAGGCTTCGCAGAGGAGGTGCTCTTTGAGCTGGGTTTGGAGGATGTGTAGGCGCCCAAGTGGAGAAGGGAGGCAAGGTATTTATTTCTTCTGCAAGGAAAATAACACTGAAAGAGGAGTCAGGCGCAGCCCCGATAGGAGGTTCCTGATCCAGGCATTCCTGTGACTCACCGCACTCTGCCTTGGGGGGTTGTACTGAGCCGAGGTGGGACTCTTCCCTCAGAATTGGTGATTCCCCCTGAGTTTTCTTCCTGCTTCTCCAGCACTGTGCTTGGTGAGGGCCCCACATGCTGACACCTGAGTCAGGTGACCTGGGTTGGGGGACAACCCAGGCGTGGGGCAAGGTGGGGGATCTGTACATGCTGGGCCTTGGGGACAGCCACCAGCCAGGCCTTTGCGGGTCCTCTCCCCTTCCACGTTCAGACCCAGCCCCTGCCCCCAGGCTGCTGGCAGTTTCTTCTCCCTCGGAGTTCCTAAAGTGGGCAGGTGTTCGCCAGTTGGATCTGTTACGAGTCCGCTCCTTTCCACCCGCCTGAAACCCAAGATGAGAGGGCTTACTGGACCTCCACATGCTTTTGAGAGAAACCATCCCGAGACCCCTGAAGATGTGTTTCAAGTTGTGACTGTCCCTCTGTGCTGGCTTGTCATTGTGGCCCCATCCCTCGGCTCCCACCCCCCTCACCTTTTTTAACGAACGTGTTTTTTTTTCTCATCAAATCCTTTCCACAGACTAATCCTCTTGCTTCTATTCTGTTTGTCTTTCTTCCCCCCTTCCCTCTCCGGTGCCCCTTCTCCTTCTCATAGACTGACCCTTGGTTATCGTTGCAGAATTACGGCAGCGGCATGAGACCACCACCCAACTCCCTCGGCCCCGCCATGCCCGGGATTAACATGTAAGGCAAAAAGGACCTTGCTGGCAGCTCAGAGCCCATGGCTCCCCGACCCTCTGCTGGCCCCCCCAAAGACTCGTGAACAGAGTCATTCTTGGCACCTCTCTGGACCTCAGGCCTCTCATCAGTGGAGCCGGGGATGCTGGCGATAGATACTTGGATAAGAGCTCATATGGTCCCGTATGGGGCTCATCCGTCCTGGGTGTGTTTCTGAGCCTGCTGTGTGGATTAGCCCGCCTGCTCCTCATAGCCCGGTGAGGTGGTTATTGCCCCCGTTTACAGATGAGGTAACTGAGGCACAGAGAGGTGAAGTAACTTGCCCCTGCTCACAGGGCTCTTAAGTGACAGGGCCAGGATTTGAACCCCGGTACAACTGGCTGCTGTTGTAGTGCTTGAGTGGTTCTTAATTAACCCCCTTTCGGGGATAGATCCCCATGAGGATCTGTGGGTTCCCTTCCTGGGAAGATGCACATGCAGAGGCAGTTTTATATACTTGACACGTTTTTCACGTAATTTAGAGGAGCTTGTAGATTTCTAGCCGTGGAGCTGCCCATTACTGCCCGAGAACCAGGTGTGTAAGGCCCTAGGGCCGGCCGCATGAAGGATTTCCTGTTAGTGATGTCAGCCCTCTCGTTCTGGCGCTTCCGGCACCGCCCCCTTGGGGTCAACGACACCTTTTTCATTGTTGCCATCTCTCTCCTCTCTCTGTCTCTCCCCCTCTCCCCATCTCCCCGTCTCTCTCCCTCCCCCTCCCTCCCTCTCCCTCCCTCTCCCTCCCTCTCCCAGGGGCCCGGGAGCTGGCAGACCCTGGCCAAATCCTAACAGTGCTAACTCAGTGAGTACCCACATCGAGTGGGAGGGGTTTCTAGGCTATGGGGTGGTCCTGTCCCCAGGTTGGGGGTATCATGAGAGGCAGGGATGCAGCAAGAGTCCACCTGACGCTTGCCAGCGGGAGCCCCACCTGTAAGTGGAGGCTTGGGAGTAACATTCCCGGGGCCTTCAGGGTTTGGGCCCCGGCCCAGCCCGCTGATGGGCAGAAAGCCTGTGTGAGCTGAGAGCTTGCTCAGAGAGCATTGTCCACACAGAAGCGTCTGGTGATCCTCTCCCCCCGGCAGGGCTGGCTTCTAGTGCTCAGGGGAAGGAGCTGGAAAGGGGCTCAGCACAGACAGTCTGGGGAAGAAGGCCAGAGGGGTGGGGAGAAGCTCTCGCTCTCCTGTCCTCTCACACTGGAGGGTCTCCCCCGCCCATGCCCCCTCAGAGCTCCCTGCCAAGGCTCTTGGGATCAGTTCAGTGTAGGCACTGGGCTTTGCTCACACCCCTGGCCCCCTCCTGGGGTGTCCCACAGCCTTTCCTAGCAAGAGGGGGTGGGTCCCCAAGTGGATTTGGAAGCCCAAGGGTACTGAGTATCAGAGGAAGGGACTCTGACACGTGGCTGCCCACCTCTTGTTTTTAGATTCCATACTCCTCCTCATCACCTGGTACCTACGTGGTAAGTGTGTGTGGGTTCGGGGCATTGGGTGTCCAGCCACATGTGACTGAATGTGCAAGAGAACTTCTCCAGGGTCCCTGTCTCTTTCCCTTTCAAAACACACTCCGAGCACAAGTTCTAAACTCTGCTAGAACCTGCTGTCATTGTTCAGGTACCTTCTGGGGGCCCGGAAGTCCCCAAACAAGACCTAGAGTTGGGTCCCCATCTTGGGGGCTGACCATTGACCTAGCTGGTTTCCCCCACAGGCCTCTGGTTCCACCAGTTGGCATGTGAACACATACACGCACACCCACAGCTGCCTCTAGGTTTGAAGAAAGGCAGTGGGGTGGGGGTGGGGTGGGGGGAATCCAAGTCCAGCTCCCTTGGGGCTTAAACACTTGGGCTCTGCTTGAGCTTTAGTGAGAGCGGGATGCCAGGCTGGGCCCTGGAGGAACACTTGACTTTGGTGTGGCCGGAGCTCGGGGTTTTCTCCCGACCTGGGTCATGGCCATGGGTTCCTCACGTCAGTTTTTATCTCGTCTCCAGGGACCTCCTGGCGGTGGTGGCCCCCCAGGAACACCCATCATGCCTAGTCCTGCAGGTAAGAAGCCTTGGGGAGAGGGTGCCATCGAGAGAGTTGGGGGTCCTGGAGGGGTCCCAGTGCAGGGCCAAAGCTTACCAACCACCCCTCCTGAGCAGCGTGTCCCCCACCAGGCATGTCAGCATCAGGTGTTTAGGAGGAAGGAGATCCTCGGTGCCCCTGACCTTCCCTGTGGCCTTAGCAAGGTCACTCCTCCTCTCTGGTTAGAGGAGAGGCAGGGTGGAGAGCTCCAGGAACGAGGGGGTCTCACTGTCCTCAGCTCACACTGGTTGGCAAGCACCCTTTCCCAGCTGTGGATTTCTCTAGATGACTGAAAAGGGGCTTTGGGCTTCTGACATCCTGGAACCAGGACTCTTAACACCATGTCTCTTGAGTTCCCAGAGCTCTTGGCTTCTGGTCCTCTATACGGGAGATCTCCTCTCCTTCTTTCTCTGATCAGAAGAGGGCGTGCGTGCACACGTGGGCATGTGCACACGTGGGCATGTGCACACATGCGCGCGCGCACACACACACACACACACACACACACACACAGCTTCACAGTTGCGTTTCTTTCCCAGCTGAGAATAACACACCACCATCTAGAAGGAACCCCACGGACAATCTACCCACCCAGAAAATAAAAAGTGAGACGTGGTTGGATTTCTGCCCTAGAAAGAAGATGCCTGCTCCTGATAGAAACATGTTAGCTGGTTTTCTTAGGAGACTTTCCTAGCTAATTGGGGAGACGGAGGGGTCCCTCTCTCTCCAGACTCCTCGGCTCCCAGTGGCAGGGAAGCTGCTTACCCATAGTCTGGAGCTAGCGGCGGCTGTGATGTTCCGGCCCCCACTCCCGCTCCCTCTTTCTGCTGCTGCATTTTTATGAGCCACATGACCTACATTCAGACTGGGTCACATTAAACCACTGCATATGTTAATGTGTCTCCAGCCCCATGCTTCCCTCTCCCTCCTGCCCCATCAGCTTGGCAAGGTGGCCCCTGGGTAATTTGTGGCGTTTCTCTTTCCCCAATTTGATTAAAACCCCTGGGCGGGATTGGGGGAGAGCGCAGCTGGTGGTCTGGCCGTCCCTGCGTGGTCCCTGGCAGGGTCTGGGGACCAGGTTGTTTTCGGGTAGGGAGATGAGAATTTGAACCTGCCACCCCCGCTTTGCCACGTCCACACTGCTGTCCACGCACCCTGGACTTCTTTGTTCCAGGGTTGAGCAGTTTTCACAGTTGAATTTTCTGTGATTAAAAACTTTGTGAATCTTCATTAAATACAAATTAGCCAGAAAATGGTGGTACTTAGAGGAGATTTTAGGTGATAAAATACAAAAGAATGAGTTCAAGTGCCATGAGTTTGTTTTAATTAAGAAATGAATTAATCACCCCGACTTGTGGGTTTCCACTGTTCTACAGATTCAACAAATTCCAGTGACAACATCTACACAATGATTAATCCGGTGCCGCCTGGAGGCAGCCGGTCCAACGTAAGTCCGCTTTCTAATAATTTACATATCAGATACCATAACAAATCATAATTAACTTCATCAGCTGAGGGGAAAGCAAGTTTAATTGATTTCAGCCATTTGTTACCAAAGACGAATAAAATAAACCGTCAGAAAAGCGATTAACTCTTGGGCAAATCGGTTCCCATTCCGCAGCTGGCCGGGGGTAGAGAGGTACCCTCCCCTCTGGCCAGAGCGGCGCACCCAGCCTCACTGTGGGGATCCCTGCCACCCTGAGTGGGGTGTCAGGGAGGGAGAGCACTAGGCTGCGGGTGGACCCGGGTCACTCCCCGCTCCGCCGACCGGCTGTGCCCCCCCCAGGCAGTCAATCACCCTCTCAGGTCTGGAGCTGTGGGTCCCTGACGCCCATCTGGGGACCTGCCTGCCCTGTGCCTCCAGCCCCTTTGGGAGCCCTGTGACTGCAGCTTCCTGGTCTGTCTTTGGGTCATTGCCTGCCTCCCACCCCCTCCCTTCTTGGCTTCTCCAAGTTCCAGCCCCTCGTAATGTAGGAGCTCCAGTTCCACCTTGTCTGACCCCTGCCCATCTACTCCCTCCCATGGCCTGTGTCCCCTGCTGGATGGCACTTGACTCTGCAGCCATAGCCCGTCCCCTTCTCCCAGCTGGGAGCTCCCCGAGGAGAGGGCTGGTCAGACTCACCTCTGGAGACAGCCTTTCTGCACCAGCTGGGGAGGGGACTCAGACTGGCCTTGCGCTTGGGGAGCCCAGTGTCTGGAAGGGAGGCTGCTATGTGACCAAATCAACAGTCTGGACTGCAGAGCCAGAGGCTCTGGGTGTTGGGGCCCCAGTGGTGTTCTGGCCTTTTGGGGTGCTTCGTTTGGTTCTGTTGGTTTGGTTCCTGATGTGACCCCTGAACCACCCACTGTGCTAAATGCTGATTGGGAGCTGCCCCATGCTGGACCCATATTTAATCCTCTGGCAGTCTCTGAAGGGGGGAGGGTCTTTGGATCCTCCTGGGTTAGGGAGAGGGACCTAGAGAGGGGTCCCCTAGAGAGGGGTCACGTGACTGAGAAGCGTGGGAACCGCACTCCTTAACCATTGCTCCGCTGTCCCTGTCCCTCTCCTGGGCAGCCAGCACCCCTCCCACCCCAGCCCCATCACCCCTGCTACCCGTTAGGGTGACTGGCCATCAGGTTTTAGCATTAAAAGCTCTGTGTCTCAGGAGACGACTTCCCAGGACACACTGTCCTTGGTTTGGGCAGTGGATGCCAAAGGGTGGGTGGAAAAGTGTAAGGCTCTTCCAGCAGCCCAAAAGCCAGGGACTGAGCTCACTGTGTTCAGTGTCCACTGGAAAGGGCATAGGTGACCTTCCTGCCACGGCCGCCGCCGCCACCTCTCCCAACCGTGGACGCCAGCGGTCCCGGCCTGTGGCTCCCAATGAACCATCCACGTCACGGCTCCGAGGGCCGGGCTCCAGTGCGCTGGGGTCAGGGGCCCCGATGGGTCCGCCTGGGCTCTGTCCGCAGATGAACCGCTGTGCTCTGTGTTGAGGTTGCAAGGGTCTCCTCTTCCACATTGTGAGTCGGGGGCCGTGTGTTCTGGGAGTTGAGAGGATGACAGGTCTGCCACGAGCATGGCCCAGATAGAAGAGAAGGGGAGGGGCGGGGAGGCGGAGAAGGGGAGAGCACACAGGGGGCCCCGTTGCACATGGCTGGGGTGAGACAGCACAGTCTTCTAACCCAGCGCCGGCCACCTCTGCTGCCGCGTCATTCCCTGTCCGGCTCCGTGAACGGAGGACAGTACGTTTTCTGAGGCTGCACCCGAGTCCTGAGCGGCAACACAAGGGGATTTGAAGCTGCAGAAACCAAATGAAAGATGGTTGTTCTCTTGTCCAAATACAAGCTAGACTTTGCTCATCTCTGCCTGTTTGGCAGTCAGCACCCAGTTGATTTGGCAGATTTCATTTGGGGTGTGAACTTCTTACCTGCTGAATGTCCCACACACCTTGTGCCCGGCACTGCTATGAAAGGGGACAGGGTGCTTACTTAGGATACCAGGCTTTCATAACGAAAGATTCTGGTCACTCCCCAGTCAGATCTCCTCAGAACATGCAGATGCGCTTAATGAGACCTTGGACTCTGTAGAAGCAGAGAGAGGCTCAGGTGCACGCCCGCACGGTGGCTGGCATCACTGCTGGCCGGAGAAAAGATGGTAACGAGGTCGGCCCGCTGTGACGTCTTCTCTCGTTGGAGATCCGTTGAGCTGAGCACGCAGAGAAGGAATTACAGTAAGAGAGAAGCGTACGTGCTGTTTCTCTAGAACTGCTCAGTGATCTTTCAGGGGGCCGCCAGGAGCCTAGAAGAGAATGAGCAGACCTCACCTGGGTCGCTTGGGGTGGTTGGGGGGGTTGCGACAAAACGTCATCGGCCAAAGTAGCAGCTTTTGTTCTGGAAATGAGATGGCCTGAGAGCATGTCACCGGTAAAGGGCAGCCGCGTCATATAGGAATTTCTCAACTTCTTTATTGAAACTGTAACTTCCTTGGAGTCCAGCTTGGACCTCACAGGTTCATCTCACCTCTGTGCTTTAAAACCATTTTCCCCGAGTGAGGACTCCGTGATGACGACGTCCAGTGTGCTTGGGAATGCTTAGAAATCACAGACTTCAGAGACAGGACAGCCCACCTGATGAACTTCCGGATGCAGAGGACCCGACTGGCAAGCGCTGGTCCCCCTGAACCAGCCTGTAGATACAAAGGGGATGGACATGTTTGGAGAGCTGGAAGTGAATTCCTACAGGTCCAGAAACCTACGCAAGTCCGCAAAGTCCTAAGTACTCCACGCGCAGACGTTGTCGTGGAGAGCGTATGTGGGTGTTGCCGTGTTGGACCGACACCAGGGCTTGATGAGAGCACGGCAGCAAGTCAAAGTGAATCGTACGTTTGCCCCTGTGTTCCTTTAGCACTACATAAAAAAACAAAAAGGCTGGCCTGGAGGCTGCAGGGAAATCAGAGAGGGATTAGAGGAAAAGCAAGCACCTTTTACCCCATTGCAGGCTCGAGGACAAGATGGGTCACCAGCAGCTCCATGGCCCGGGTTTGCTGCCCTGCTGTGTCTTCTCAATCTGGCGGGGGCCACCCAGGAATGTGTTCCCAAAGGGATGCTCAGGATATAGGCTTCGTCAGGTCGGACTGATGACCTCGCTTGAATGGATTATCTGAGACATCTACCTGACAAACCATGCTAGCTACCTCTTTGTACAAAACTTTTTTCTAATCTTAAAAAAAAAAAAAAAAAAATGCAGAGCAAAAATACCCTATTATAATACAGGACGGAAAGAAACATGATTTTTAAATTGCTTTTTAGTGTTTTATTTATTTTTGAGAGAGAGACAAAGAGTGTGAGCAGGGGAGGGGCAGAGAGAGAGAGGGGGACACAGAATCTGAAGCAGGCTCCAGGCTCTGAGCTGTCAGCACAGAGCCTGATGTGCGGTTCGAACTCATGAACTGTGATATCATGACCTGAGCTGAAGTCCGATGCTTAACCTACTGAGCCCCCCAGGCGCCCCAAGAACATTTTTAAATCAAATATAAGTAATATGTGTTTAGTCAGTCCATTGCATTTAGTTTTTTAAAAAAAAATTAAATTTGTGTGTGTGTGTGTGTATTAATGTTTTATTTATTCTTGAGACAATGAGCATGAGCTCATGCATGAGCGAGGGAAGGGCAGAGAGAGAGCGGGACATAGAATCCGAAGCAGGCTCCAGGCTCCGAGCTGTCAGCACAGAGCCCAACGCAGGGCCCAAACCCAACAACAGGGAGATCATGACCTGAGCTGAAGTCGGACACTCAACAGGCGCCCCAAATTTGTATGTTTTAAGAATACATAGTAATATAGCCTGGAAAATTGAAGTAATCCAATAAAGACTCCAGATAAATTGTTTTTCTCACACAAACCGTTTATTTTTTTAACTAGTCCTCTACCAACTGCTGCTGTTAACTAGCCTGACTGTGGTTTTATTGAAATAATAGCACTTACGTAACAAAATAACGAGCACAGAATCAACAAGTGGTGTAGAGACAGCTGTATGTCCCCTGGCAAGTGCATGAAGTTGGACCGTTCCTCCACGGTGAAACCCAGAATCTCTCCAGAACACTCAACCCTCGACATGCACATCCGCGCTGAAACAATAAAACGTTCCGAAGAAAATGTAGGCATAAATCTTTGTGGCCCAGGTAAAAGCAAAGCCTTCCCAATGACACCAAAAGCACGGGTGACAAAAGAAAAAAGTAGATAAATTGGACTTCATCAAGATTTAAAACTTGCATACTTCGAAGGAGCGCCATCAAGAAGGTGAAAAACACAGCCCGCGGAGCGGAGAAGATATTTGCAAATCACGAATCTGATACCGGACTTGAATCCAAAATACGCAAAGACCTCTTCGAACTCAGGCACGAAAAACCAGCCCAATTTAAAAAGTGGGCCGACGATCCAAAATAGACTTTCCTGCCAAGATGTACCCGTAGCCAGTAAGCACACAAAGGTGCTCCTCTTCGTGGCCATCGGGGGGATGCACGTGGAAAGCACGAGACAGTGCTGCACACTCACTGGGCTGGCTGTCACCAAGAAACCGTGCCGGCGCGGGTGAGGCCGGGAAGACCCTGGAGCCCTCACACGTGGCTGCGGGGAACGTGAAATGATGCGGCTGCTTTGGAAAACAGCGTGGCGGTTCCTCGAAAGCTTAACCAGAATGACCACAGGACCCTGCGATTCCACTGTTGGGTAGGTATCTACCCAAGAGAAATAAAAACCCGTGTCCACATAGTAATCGTCCACCAGCATTCACAGCAGTGTTATTCATAATAGCTAAAAAGTGGGAGCGACGCGTCCGCCGACTGAACGGATAAATAGAACGCAGCCTCTCCGTGTAATGGAACATGATTTGGCCGGAAGAAGGAAAGAAGTACTAACTGATGCCCCAACCCGGACGAACCTCGAAGACCTGCTGAGCGAAGGAAGCCAGCCGCAGAAGAAGGTCATATGTGTCCGGAATAGGCAAATCCATAGACAACAGAGAACAAATTAATGGTTGTCTGGGGCTGGGGGTTGGAGGGGGATGGGGAGTGACCGAACGGGTACAAGGTTTCTTTACGGGGTGATGAGAGAGTTCTGACGTCGATCTGGTGGTGATGGCCGCACACCTGCAGACATGCTAAAAACCACCGAACTGTGTGCTTGCAGTGGGCCACTTGTACTTTGTGCGAATTCCAGCCCGGTCAAGCGGTTAGAAATAATAATACACGAGAAAACACAAAGTTTTAAAAAGATGCTTATGTTGAAGGCAGAACATGCCGTTGTTTATGACATTAATCGCGTTTGGGGGGCTGTTTTGTCTGATACGACTGTGTCCTGAGTTGGCTCCTTAAAAAGTCCATCACCTCCTCTCACTTGGATGAGTAAGTGTGAAATTTGTTGCCAGGTGTCAAAAATGTGCCTCGGTGCCTGTGAGTGGCCCTGGGAAGCCTCTGGGGAGGCGAGAGGCGGGAGGCAAGGGGGCCGCCTCTGTGGTACATGTGAGTGGGCGGTGGGCGCGAGGGAGCGGCTGGCACGCTAGCCGCACCCCTGCAATGTGGGCTCCGGCAGCCTGTGCTGCCCCCTGCCTCTCTGCTCACGCAGGACCCCTACCTAGAATGACTTCTGTGGCCTGTCTCCCCCTGCCCAAATTCTGTCCTCAGTTATTTTGGCCCTCTGCCTCCTCCTCCATGCAGGGGTTCAGATTTCTCTGCCCTTTCCCCACTGACTCTTCCTGAAGCCTTGGCCATGCCTTGTCTGCAGCTCCCTTTGGAACTCAGCACCTCTGCCCCGTGGGGTGGTTGGGTGTCCATAACCGTGGACTCCCCTTCCGGGCTGAGGCTCGGCTGTGACTCAACTCTGTGTCCCTCGCCCCTGGCATAGGCCAGATGCCAAACAGTCCTCCTTTCTGCCGTGTCCACCCCTGTGCACCCTGACGTCTGGTCTGCATCACAGGGCCTGGGCTCACCAGACTGGGCTCAGCCATCCCTTCTCAACCATGGGATATGACCTCTGGCCTTTGGTTGCTACTTTTCTGAGATCATTCTACCGCCCCCTCCAGGTCCAAGGCTAGGGGTAGAGCAGATTCCGCCTCCGGCCTCTTGAGCCGCCTGCCCTGCCACCACTTCTGCCTGGGGGACTCATCAGTGGCCTTCCTCTACATTGTCCCCAGGAGAGAACTCTAGTCCCCCCCCCCCCCCCAGCTTCTCCCCTGACCTCCCAGTCACTCAGTAGACCCAATCTCCTCACCTTACCCATGAAACTCCATTTCTGAGGAATCGCTCAGAGGAGGCTGGTGGGACTCAGGCTCAGGCTGCCCGCGCCCCAGTCCCCACTCCTCCCGTCTCCCAGGGCAGGGGAGGGGGGGACCTCCGGCAAAGAATTTCCCACTCTCTGTGCTTCACATTCCTTACCTGTAAAATGGGGATGAGAGACATTAATACCTTTGGCCCCTGGCTGCGCACAGTCACCCATTTGTGTGTCTGTGTGAGGTTCTGACTGGTGAGTCACACGCTCCGTCCCAGGGATAGAGAGAGCCTTATTACGGGGTCCGTGACACTTGGCTAGAGAGCTGTCCCAGAACCACAGTGTAGCCTTGGGCCGGTGTCTTTCCCTCTCTGGGCTCGTTTCCTCATTTGGAGCGTAGGGAGGACACCCCTGCCCTGCCCAATTCCGAGAGCCAAGGGGAGGAACCAGCTCCGGCCTCCTGGTGGCATCAGATAGCCACGCGGTGTGCCCGACGGAGGAGCCAACCAGGTGGAAGCTCCCTGAGGGCACAGCTCCTTTGTAGCTGGGTGTGGGAGCCCATGAGAGGGGTGCCGAGGGCCTGGGGTCCACTCAGCCACCACGCCCTGTGCTTCTCCCCCAGTTCCCGATGGGTCCAGGCTCGGACGGCCCGATGGGAGGCATGGGCGGCATGGAACCACACCACATGAACGGATCGTTAGGTAAGCGGGCGCCAGCCCCATGATCATGCTGCACCCCGCGCGACCCTGCCCGAGCAGCCTTCTTTGGCTCAGCCGGGCCTGGTCTACCCCACTGACCTTGGCTGGGCACGTAGGAAGATCCCCAGAGATACAGCCAGGACAGAAGATCGTCTGCACAGAAATAGTGTGGGATTTGGGTGGCTTTGGAGACCTAGCCACGGAAGAACAAACAAGAAACTGAATCCAGATTTTCCTTCCTTCTTTCTTTCCTTCCAGGGTCAGGTGACATAGATGGACTTCCAAAAGTGAGTGTGTGTTCTGTGTGTTCCTCCCTGATCACATCCACCTTGCCCCAGCCCTGAGGCCCCAGAAAGCTTTTCTCCCCATTGGGTGGGCAGGACTCTGGGGCTCTGGGGCTCACCTCGTCTCTCCTCTCCCCAGAATTCTCCTAACAACATAAGTGGCATTAGCAATCCTCCAGGCACCCCTCGAGACGATGGTGAGCTAGGAGGGAACTTCCTCCACTCCTTCCAGAATGACAATGTAAGTGCTGCATGTATCCCTCCCCCCAGTTTCGGCCCTGGATCATCGTCTTACCTCTGGGGCCGGGGACTAAATTACTTAAGTTGTGGTGCCTGCTGGCCAGGACCAGCCTGGCAGGCTGGTGTCCCAACAGCTGTGCCTCTGGCTTTCACCTTGGTCCTTTTTCTGTACAAAGTGCAGGGCCCTCTCTTCCCTGCCGCATGGCCTCCAACCGCTGCCACCCCGACCACTGGCAGGACCTTCTGGAGACCTCTACAGGGAGGCACATCGCCTCCCAACACTGATAAAGCTGACCAGGCTGGGAAAGCCCTGGGTTGGGACTCAGGAGGCCTGGGCTCTGGCCCGCCGGGCCTCTGAGGGGGTCCACTTCTGTCTGTCCTGGGGAGGGAGGTTCATACCACCAGAGATTTCCTGGGATCCCCACGCAGAGGGCCTGGCTTCTATTTACATTCTTGTATGAAGAAACGACGTCATGATTCTGAGAACCCCAGACTAGCTCCCCCCAGGACACCCTGGGTGAGCTGCAGGAAAGCAGCTGTGTGGGAAGGGCAGTGTCGGCTGCTTCCTCAGCTGGGAAGAGGGGATTTGAGAAGGGAGAGGGGTGGGATGGGGGGGCGAGTTGTGATAGCAGCCCCCAGAGCTCCCACGATGCGGGGGTGGGCACAGTCTAGTGCTGAGCGGGCAGAGCCCTCACAGGCTTCCCCACCCAGGCACGCTCCCAGACTGGCCCAATCTAGCCCACACTGGCCCTCATGGCCCTGTCTCTGCTTCTCCCCTTCCAGTATTCTCCAAGCATGACGATGAGCGTGTGATCCCCTCCTCTTCTCCGAGACCTGAGAGAGCCGGCATTGCAGGCGGGAAGATGCCAGAAATTATGCAAGAAGAAGTGAGGTGTCATTACCCAGGAGCTGGGGGAGGGGCGTCTCCCTGCTCCCCCTCAGCCCCCACCCTCCTCCTCCAGTCCCCCCCACCTGTCCCAATTTTAGTTTCATGCAATAAAAAGGCCGAACTTTTTATTCCATAAAACATGAAGGACAAAACTCAAAATAAAAATATATTTCAAGTCAATGACCAGAAAAATCCCACCCCTTGCCCTTTCCCAAAAGGACCTTTTATGTACATGACACTTTTTTGTTGTTGTTTTTTTTTGTTTGTTTGGGGTTTTACCGTTACTGGGATTTTTTAATTTGTTTTCAGGGGGTTTTTTTGGGGGAAAAATTTTTAAAAATGGAAGCTTCTAGCAAGTCCCCCACCCACCCCACCCCAATCAACCTCTTTGCTTTCTTCTTTTAAAAAAAAAAAAAAAAAAAAAAGCCCTGCTGTCTGTCTGTACCCAAGCCCTTCCACCAGGAAAGCTAGTCTAGGTGTGAGATCTCACGCTGTCTTTGTAGCCATCTAAAAATAATAATAATAATAATAAACTGGGCAGTTTACAATCGGTGGTTTCTTTCAAAAGGCCTTTTTTGGAAAGAGACAAGAAAGTCCCCTTTCTCCACTTGGGGTTTTCGGTTTGTGCGGATGGGCAAGCAAGGGGTGGGAACCTGTTTTGTTTTCGCTTGGTTTCTCCCGGCGAGGTGGCCTCAGCAGCTGCACAACTGGGACCCCAGAACCACCCCCTCCCGTATGTGGCCCGAGGGGCCAGACCACCTGACCGCTTTCAGGACTCCGCCACAGCGGAGACTCGCTGTGACCCGGTGGCATGCACTGTGTTCCCAGGACTGCTTCCTCCTCTCTCTCTTCTGGACCTTCCCCTGCCCGGCCTCCCTGCCGCTCCAGCCCTCTTCTCAGCCCCCACCCCAGTCTTCCCAGCGAGAATCCTGCCAGCTGGGTGGTGGCCTGGACGGAGCGCAGTGGGGGAGGCCGCCCCCAACAGGATGGCTATGACCTGGGACATGGCAACCGTGACCCCCGCGTTCTCGCCCCGTGGCCCTGGCTCGCATCGTCCTCGTCGTGTGTGCTCGTGTGTGCGGGCACTGTAGGGCTGGAGTTTGGGTTTCCTTTTGTTTTGGGTTTTTTTTTTTTTTTTTTTCTCTTGATTCTTGCTTCTTTTTCAAAGATGGGAATTGACCAGAATTGCTCTGTATACGCTTGGAACTGGATGGAAAGACTTTGGAATAGCTGTTGGGGGGGCGGGGGACACCAACAACCAAACAGACGTGCTGTTTCCGGTCCTGTTTTTATTTTCAAAAACCGACAAATGCGACAGTGGAGCCTGTCCCCTCCCAGGAGGGGTGACTCATGGCCTCCCTCACCTCACTACCCCCATCGAACCTCTGTGTCTTGCCCTGAAGACACCCGAATTCTTTGTACATTTACAGCCCCTCCTCCCTGCTCCCCTGTAGCTGCTGTTTGTTTTCCTCCCTCCCCTTCCTGATCCATGTATATCATACTATGTGAGATACCATCTGCCTGAAAAAAGACCTTGTGCGGATTATTGGGAACATTGTAGCTGTTTCTGTGTTTTTTCTTACCTTGTAGTCTGGTTCTGAATTAAGAGAGGAAAAAAAAAGTAATTATGATACATTGTAGTTTGTGTACGATATATGTTGATAACGTTTTATTAAAGGGACATCTTTTTTCCGCAGCCCTTCCTGACATGTTTGGGGGCAAACGTGGGTGGGAGTTTATTATACTGATTACAAAATGCGAGGTGGACTGCTTGGGCACAGTTTCTGTTCCTGGTGCATGACGAGATTTTGTTTTGTGTTCAGGTTGTCCTCCCTGTTTTCCTGGGCATGTGAATGCTGCATTTTCTGTGCAGAGTTGCAGTGGCCTTTGGGGAAGGTGGGTTGGGAAGGGAGACATCAGTGTCACGTCAAATATTTGGGGGCACTGCCAGAATGTATTTTTCAGGGAGTAGAAAAGTTTCCTGGTGTTTTCCAAGGAGAATCAGCACTGGCCAGTGCCAGTTGTGGCCCTGAGGGTGGCAGCCACACCTGGCTTTCCCACTCAGGTGGAGTGATTCACTGGTCCTAGGCTGGGGACCCCACGGAGCTTCAGTCTTGTGTTTTCGTTGTTTTCCCTCCAAGGCAAGGGGGAGCCCTTGGAGGATTTTCACAATAGCCTTTCCCAAATGCTGCATCCTGGAAGGTGGTTGGGTGGGGCAAGGTAAGCAGCGGGACGGGCATTTGAACATTTGGAAAGTAGGACTTTCTGCTTCCCTTGAGCTCTGGGGACCTTGCTCCAGGCCCGCAGAAGGGGAGGGAAAGTGTTGTAGGCTCAGTACATCTCTACATGGTCTGACCCTTCCAGACACACATTGCTAATTTCCGATCCTGTCTTTACCGCTACTTACTGTGACCATGGGCAAGTTAGTTTCTACCTGTGCCCTGCTTACCTCATTTATAAACAGGGATAATGGTTTACCTACCTCATGGGGTTGTTGGGAGGATGAGGTGGCTCTTGTGAAGGGTTTAGACCATGCCTTGCACGTAGTACGAACAGCAGTGTTAGCTATTAGTGGTACTGTTCCTCCTATGGGGCAGGTGCAGAGTCCAAATGGGTGTGATGGGAGGATCTAGAAGCTTGCATTTTGCCCTTCCCTCAGCTTGGAATCAGGTTTCTAGGCTCTTCCTCAGCAGACACCTTTGAACAACTGGGCAGCCCTCACCGTTGGAAGAGGATACTCAGGCTGGGACTGACCTGCACTCAGACCTCTGAAGAAGTTTCTGTTCCACCAGCAGGGAGCCTCTGCCACGTGCCAACCCAGTGCTGGGCAAAGGAGGTGGTGATGAGCAAGCAGCCACCCGTTACCCTTGCCGCCACCTGGCATTCCCAGGCAGGACTCGGGCAGGTGGGAGCCACGGTATGGGGGTGCCAAGCTAGAAGCGAACCCAGGTCATGGGTGCCCCGGTAGGGAGGAAAGGGCCCAGCCTGCAGTGGGATCCTGCTTTGCACCTCCCTGCACACCTCTGCTTATAGGGTAAGAACACCAAGCACCTTCCCACACCACCCCTCAGCCTGTGGCCCCCAGCAGCTAGGCTCCTCAAAGCTGGAGCCAACATCCAAGTGTTCCGTGTCCCCAGAATCGCCAAGCAGGCACTCAGTTTCTCATGGAGTAACCGGATGTTTGTTGAGTAGTCACCCCTGCACCTTCCCCTGCATGCTGTCACCTATGGGCCCAGGTGGGTGGCCTTCACAACTTCCTGTTTCTGTGGATCCAGAGGCCAACTGCTGTCAGTGTCTGCCAGCAAACTGGGAGCTCCTGGAGAACAGAGACCAGGGCTCATTCTGTGTCTCTGGTTCCCAGCACGAGGCCAGGCACACAGCAGGTATTTATAAAATGGGCTGGACTGCCCCCGGAAGAGTTCTGTAGTGGGGAACCTTAGGGCTCAGTCCCCAGTCCTGACCTAGTCTTCCATGGTGGCCCAGCTGGGGATGAGGAAACCCATGGACGCACACGTGTGTTTCGGGGGGAGGGTGACAGCTAGAAGGGGCTGCGCTGCTGTTGACAGGCTGGCTCTTAACTCTGGGCAGCAAGCCCACCCTGGATGCAGGTGGTGAGGCCGAGGGAAGCAGGCATTTGAGATTTGGAGAAGTGGATACATCTCTATGGAAAGGATAGCTGTCCTCACATAGGAGCTTTCTAGCTCCTCACACTATACATACTCTGAGCCTCAGTTTCCCCATTTGTAGAGGGAGGATAAAACCCACCAAGTCCCGCCTGCCTTACCTTGCACATGAGATGCGTGGGACTTGAGAGCGCAGTGGGCGCCCAGGGCTTAGCTCTGAGCTCCACAGGGGACACCAAGGCCAGCCGCTAGGACTGCTCACTCAAGGTGGGTTGTGAGGAGGGCCCGCCACCCAGCCCGGCCTGCAGCACCGGCTTCTCCCAGGGCAGTCCTTGAGCTGCAAGGTCATCTACTAGCGGCCTCGCCTCTGCTGACTCGCAGCCTCCTTCCCACGCCCGAGTTGGCTGGCTTTGCCCCCACCCCCGCCTCCCACCGGACTCCAGGGGCTTAGGCCCACTCAGCCTGGCTTCAAAGCAGTCGCCACCATCCCACCAAGCCGAGAAGGCAAGTTGCGAAGCGGACAGATTACGAGCCTGGGGGCCAGACACACAGGGCTGGCGTCCCGCTTTGCCATTTACCAGCTCTGGTGGCGGTGACGCTGCTCCAGCTCGCTCCCCAGAGGCCCTCTGGCAGGCAGCAGGGAAGGCCCACCTGCTTCCGTGGCGAACGGCTCTCAGCCCAGTCCCTCTGGGAACTGCACTCTGCCCAAGGAGGCTACCCAACCCGTCTCTCCCACGCAGGGGAGCGGTGTATAGCCAGCCAATGATGGCGACAGACTGGTGGCGTCTAAAGAAAGGCTCACCTCCTTGCCACCCACGGAACTGGGAGCCAGCCGAGACCTCAGGTGCAGTCACCGGGCTCAGACCCCTCTGCACGGCGATGGCGCCACCACTCCCCAAAGGTGCTAGTCCTTGAGGCCCTCCCCAAACTCACCTGCAGATTGTCTTGATGAGTTTCCCGGTGACCTACACCACCAGCTGTGTGACCTAGGTGACCTTATACTATCTGAGGTCCCTTATTTTGAGGGCCCAGAACACTGCCCAGCACACGGTAGGCACCCAGCATCTTTCGTGAATACAGAAACACTGACCTTGCAAGAGCTGTGTGAGGAGTAAATAGGATGTGGTGTGTAAGGTGCCGGGCCCAGAGCAGGACCTGGATGCTATGTGAATAGAGGCCAGCTGAACCACAGATGTATTCCATTAACCCGGATGCCAAGGAGAAACCTACAATGAATACTCTCTTCAGATTTCCCGCAGTCATTATGGAATGAGCCCACAATTCAAGGAGTCCCGTAAGATCGCCCAAGTGTCAGAGAGCACCTATTACGTGGCAGATGCTAGGTGCACACCATCTACAGTCTTCAGAAGAACAAGGAGGTCACGTTATCCTCAAGTTTCAGGTGAAGAAGGTGAAACTCAAAGAGACAAAGGCTCTTCTCTAAAGTCAAAATGGACCACGGCAGAGCTGAGCTTAAGGCCAGGCAGTCAGGCTGCCAGGACAGCACCTGCTCAGGACGCCACCTACACGCAGCCACAGGCGACCCTTCTGACAGCACCCCACACCGGGCACAGGCTCCAGTGCCTCTCAAGGGCTCTTTATTGGCATCCAGACCAGGGGACAAGGGAGCACTCAGGCTCCGGGCAGTCACTGCCCTGGATGCAGGATCTTCCACGGGAGGGGCAAGGGGGCTTCAGACTCAGAGCGGTCCTTGGCTCACACGGCACCATGCAAATACAGAGCTAAAAACTTCCTGAATGTCTCTGGCTGGAAACCAGTCGGCCCAACAGGTTCCTGAAAAAAACACAGCCCATTAGGATCCTGCTACTAGGTTTAATGAAAACAAAGGTCGGTTTTATGTAAACCCTCAGACCTGGATAATCCCAGTCTCTTCCTCTCGTGGACCAAGAAGCGGCACCAGGGAGCTGGTACAGAGAGAGGACGGAGGGGCTGGGTTGGTGGACGTGATGCACTCATAGTGCTTTCAGCCAGTTCGTCAGTGGGCACCGCCCTCACGCCTCATCCCTCTCACCTCAACCACGGTGAACAAATGGTCTGCTGACCCTTTCCGTTCCGGGGGACGATAATCCCTCACTAATCCACACACACAGATCAGGCCCCTTCTCCTGTACTGGGCCTATGCCCAGTGTTAGAAACCCAACGGAGGCTTGAATCTGGCTCTCCCCTCAAGGAGCTTGCGGCTGGGTGTTCGAACAGGGACAATAAACGGTGACAGGCCTCACAGCAGTAGGGAAATGATGCGCAGGAAGCAGGGGAGATGACTCACTGACTCCCATACATGGAAGAGACCAGGTATGAATGAGTATTAAAGGGCAAGGAGAGTGGGCCAGGAAGGCAGAACAAAAGGCAGGCGGCGTCACAGAGAGTACATGTGCCAGTGCAGAGGAGGGAAGAGAAGGGTGAGGCTGGAGCCCAGGGTCTGTGCTAGGGGGCGGGATTGGGTTAGGAGCTGAACTAGACAGGCACCGAGGAGCCATCTGAGCAACCAGATGTGTCTGGCACTAAGTCAGTGTTCTAGAAGGGAGGACCCAGAGATGAGAAGGAGAGCAGGGTTAAGGGCAGAGAGTGCAGGGGTAGCGGGTGTGGCTGCAGGCGACAGATAACGGTGTCTGGGGCCAAAGAGAAGGGCCCGGACGGGGGAGGGGTTTACAGGGCAGAAGCAGCACCGACAGGTACAAGAGACGGACGTAACTATGCGGCTGCCGCACCGATGCTATTCGAGGGGCCGATACCAGCTCCGCACAGCACGTCTGCTCAGGCCCATGCGGGACCCCCAGCCGCAGACCCAGCAGCACCCCTACTCTGCTCTCTCGCAGCCCCCGATGCGCTCTTGTCTCTTCAGAGTGCTTATCACTGCCTGACATTACAGCATTAATTTTAGACACCGCCGCCGCCCACTGCACAGGAAGCAGGCCTACACTCTGCCAGTGGAGCACTGAGGTGCGGTAGTGATGAGCCGCCGGAAGAATCCCGTGTCCTTGGAATGAAATGAAGGAATGAATGCCTCGTCCACAGGCCCTGCCTCCGAAGAGCTTAGAGCTCAGTTTGATGGAGGAGAAAAACCTACAAACAGCTGACTGCAGAACAACAGCAGGACTGTGCTATGATGGGGGAAACACGGGGGCTATGGGACCCACACGAGACACTTAAGTGAGGCTGGCAGTGGGGTGCTGGGTCCTTATGCTAAACCTGGAAGGACAAGGAGGGGATGGCCAGATGAAAGAAATGGGGGCGGAGGGAGAAGCCTCCTTTACAAAAGCAGCAGCTCCTACTAAGACCCCAGGCTAGCAGCTGGGCACGCAGGGTGCCGTGAGGAGCCGGGTGTGGAGGGGGGCAGGGGGAAGCGGGAGGGGAGAGCCAGGGAGGGCCCAGGGTGGAAGGTGCCATTTTAGGTGACAGGCAGGGCTAAAGTAGCCCTCCAGGTAGAGATCCTGGGCAGGAAGTTCCTAAAGCCAGGGTCCCACTCGCAAGCATCCCTTCAACTCTACCCCTGGCTCACTCTGGGGAAACTGAGTCACAGCCCCGATCCAATCACAAGACTGGAGATGGCTGGACTTACCACCACCACCTTCTTTTTGATCACTGGGCGACACCAAAAATGCTGATAGAGGAGCTGGTCTGAGTCCACCCAGACCAGATTCTTGACGCCCTCGTTAGAGGCCAGGTCTGTGGTGTTCAGCTGTAACACCAGGAACTGGAAGACACGTCCATCGGTGCCCACGCTCTGCACAACTACCGGCTGCTCCAAAACTTTAGTGTCACTCTGAGAGGAAAAGGGGACAAGTAAATCAAACCAGAAACGCTGGGGTGTGAAGAACAGCACAGAACAGGCGGCTTCTAGTTCCGGCCTTTACAACAAACGTCTGCTCCCATTTAAGGGTTCCACCACGGGGCCATGAAAACAGAGTAAGTTGAGGGCACCATCCAGAACGAGGCCAGCCCTCCCTCCCCCAGCCTGGCTCTGCTGACGTGGCATCTCATGGTTAAGCACACGGAATAATCCCTGACGCTGGGAGGTGATGACCGGGCAAGCGGCAAGAGTACAGGAAGGTGAGCTGGGAAGTTAACAAGAAATCCCTCAAACCCATGGTGTTATGTGATGGTAACGGCAGTGACGTCAGTTCCATCGAACGTTAACCTGGAGGGTCAGTGAACATCTATAATAACCTCACTCAGTTCTCACTCTACTTGACAGATGAGGAAACCGAGACTCAGCAAGGCAAGTGACTTATCTGAAGACACACAGACGTGTGGCGCCGAACGCAGACTGGCCCACGCTCCGGCATGCTCACTTTCCACTTCTGCCTTGCTCCTGAGGGCCTGGCACCCTGGAATGCTCTAAGCCTGCAGTTAGTTGCCTTACTTGGGCTTCGTGCTCCCGACGCAACTCCAGAACGTGTCAGATTCCTGGAGTGTCCACAGCACTGTGTCGGAACCAGGTTTTCCCCAGTCAACACATTTGCTAATGCTCCTCAATTAGTGCCCCTTGGTAATAATAAGAACAGCAGCAACCAGTTACTGAAAGCCTCTCGCGTGCCTGGCATTATATCAGTTTTACATAGAGTCACCTGTAATCTCATGATTCTAGCAGTCTATTCCCACTTCACAGATGAGGGTCAGAGAGGTGGTATAATCTGTTCCAGGTTACCCACGAGACGTGAGCCAGGATCAGACCCCAAGCTACGAAATCACTTAAAACCCCATTGTGACTGACACCTAGCGCCCCACTGTATCTGACACTAGTACCTCTCTGCACCCCTGGTAGCGTCCCAGCATGGATGACAAATTCTATGTTCACACCACTGAGACTTTGCGCAGAGTCCAGTTTGGTGACGACTACCCATGGGACAGAGATCCAACGGGCAAGCCCCATGAAGCAGAGCATCCTGGATTCAAAAATGCTGCCTACGTTCACCCCTCCGGGCTGAATGCGACATTAGGAATAGCTAATGTCAGACCTCAGTGTGGGCCACACCGGGACTGCTGGCCTTAGAAATACCTGTTCTTCGCTGCACGAGAAATAAATAAAAAGAAAAGTACCTCTAAGTGTTAGCTGAGAATTCTGTATTGACTCTTATCTCCCTCTACAGATCAATAAAACTGCAGGTAGTACATAAATTTCTCAGCAATTTTACCCTTTACATGGAGGCTCTTCCCATAATTGCTCAACTTCACATCCCCAGGAATAATTTGTACCTGGAGGGGGTGGGGAGGTCCCCTCTCCTACCCAACTGGGTGGCAATTAGCATCAGCCTTGCTACCCGGGCTCTGCTGGCAACAGCTGGCACAGACGCTATGACGAGCTTGCAGACCTGGTACCTGGCATGTGACTGTCTGCTTCCTTCCCCGGCCCCAGAGTCGAGAGGCAGCATGTCCTTTGAAGCTGGAGGGATCAGGGCTCCAATGCCAGCTTCCTCACTCGACAGCTGTGGGATCTTGGGCAAGTCACCTAACCGTCCAGAGCCTTCATGAGTATGCAGTCAGAGAATGGGAATAAAGACAACAACCCTCAAGGATTGGAAAGTCACATGAAGATGTGACCGTGGCTAATCTCTTAGCTGTGTGACACTGGCAAAGTTACCTAGCCTCCCTGAGCTTCAGTTTCTTCATCTGTAACATGAAGCTGACGGCATCTGCCCAGGGGGTTGCTACAGGGATCTGACAATGCAGTGGTTTTCAACCTTGAGCTTAAACCAGCATCACCCCGAGGGCTTCTCACAGCACTGGTTACTTGGGTTCCATCCCCAGTTTCTGATGCAGTTTTGCATTTCCACCAAGTTCCCAGATGATGCTCATGCAGCTAATCCACGACCACACTTTGAGAAACACTGACACAAAGAATCCTAACTAAACATCTGGCACGTGGCAAATGTTCAATCTAGGCAAGGTCCATTCCACTCCCTATCTCATTTGGCTAACCACACCTCCACAAACCCACCTAGTTCCTAGACCAAGAAGGATGGGAAACAGAACACTGTGAGTTTCACTCCTCCGGGGGGGCCTCAGACCTGGGAGCTGGCAGCAACTCTCAGCGCTCCTCCTAATACACACCCATCCCACCCCCTCCCCGACTCCCCAGGATCCAGTGTCCTGGGCCTGCTCAGGGAATCCCCTACTGCCATTCCCTACTCCCTCCCGGGAGGCCTTTGCTCCCAGCCAGGCTCTCACCAATGTGGGGGCTAGCTCTGTGGGACAACTACTCAGCCTGCACACTACACCATCCAGGTCTGAGACACTCTCTCAGAATCAAGGGGCTATCACCAAATGGCATCTGGGTCCCCAGAACCCGCCCTCACTTGGCAGGCAGGTCTGCACCACCTCTACTGCTCTCCTTCCTCCTGCCCAAAGGAGGCTTGTGCTCCAGGTCTGGTATCAGAGAACCGAGGCGGCGTCCCAGAGCACAAGTAACTGAAGCTGTAGGCGCTGGGTGCACCTAGTTCCGGTCCTCTCTCCCCCACTCACTGTGTGTAATGCTGGACAAGCTGTATTTGGTGGCATCACTTGGGAAACGGGGATGACGAAGAAACCTTGTGGGCTATTTTGATCAACAAATGAGGTATCTTATGTAAAAACACAGGCACACCGTAGGCCCCCGACAGATGTCAGTTTACCCCTGTGGGGTGAGTGGAAGTGCCTCTCCCTGAAACTCCTCAGTCAAGCAAGGAATCCCCCCTGTGCCTCCCTTCTTTCCGTGAGCAGCGTAAGCAGGAGGCCAACAACACGTCAAGTACCTTGGAGGTCTTCTCCACATACATACCCCATAGAGGCGCCGGGCCTGAGCCAGGGCATTGCCAAAGGCAAACAGGATCATCTTGGCCCGCAGGTGATCTGGTTGAAGGCGGTGTGGTCGTAAACTGGCTGTCTCCAGGAAATATAAGGTGTGGGGATAGGGGTAAGGATAGCCCTCCTGGAATCCTGCAAGGTACATAATCATGTGGAGGGGTGGAAAGGATGATCAGCCTGTCCCAAAGCCTGAGGAATGTCACCCGATCTTAGCTCCATGCCAGGCACTACAGACTCAGTAAAGGCAGATGTTATCCCTACAGCTCGGGGGATGACAAACTACAGCCTGCCAGCCACATCTGGCCCCTCCCATTTGTGAAAATAAAGTTTATACTGGGACGTAGCCATGTCCACTCATTTACACAGTGTCTACGGAGTAGCTGTCACAGAGACCATCTGTGGCCTGCTAAACCTGAACTATTTACTATCTCTTTACTGAAAATGTTGCCAACCTGTGCCAGGTGATTCCTGCATGCTAGCTCTAATGACACCCCTTTCTCGCTCATTCAAGCACATAGGTGACAATGATGTCAGTAGAAGGAAACCTGAAATCTACGCTAATTATATATATATATTTTTTCAACGTTTATTTATTTTTGGGACAGAGAGAGACAGAGCATGAACGGGGGAGGGGCAGAGAGAGAGGGAGACACAGAATCGGAAACAGGCTCCAGGCTCCGAGCCATCAGCCCAGAGCCTGACGCGGGGCTCGAACTCACGGACCGCGAGATCGTGACCTGGCTGAAGTCGGACGCTTAACCGACTGCGCCACCCAGGCGCCCCGCTAATTATATTTTTAAAAGCAAATCGTTTACGAAATTCCACACTTTATTATTAGCAATAAATAACTCACTTCACACCTCACAAGTGAGCTGCAAACACTGGCACTGAGAATCAAGGCTTAGCCCTTGTTATCCCAGCCATACAACCCTGCCAGGCCATCATTCTCATCCCCTGCACTGCTAGGAGTAAACCCTGGGTAGGCTGGCAGCTTCCGGAACAAGTAATCTGGCTCAGTGAAAGCAGGTGTGAAAAGGAGGAAGAAAGAGGCCGGGAAGACACTGGCTATGAAAATCCCAGAGGTGGGTGCCTGGGTGGCTCAGTAGGTTAAGCATCTTACTTTGGCTCATAGGTCATGATCTCAGGGTTCATAAGTTCGAGTCCTGCATCAGGTGAGCACAAGTCCTGCTTCGGGTGAGCCCTACTTCTCTCTCTCACCGCCCCCTCTTGCTCTCTGCCCCTCCTGGGATTCTCTCTCTGCCCCTTGCTCCCTTGTGCCCTCTCTGAAAAGAAAAGAAAAAAGAGGAGAAAGAAAAGAAAGAAAGAAAGAAAGAAAGAAAAAGAAAGAAAGAAAGAAAGAAAGAAAGAAAGAAAGAAAGAAAGAAAGAAGAAAATCCCAGAGGCAAGCGCTGCTTCAGACAGACAAGACTTCCCGTGGGCACTTTGGTGGGCCCTCCCTGTGCGCCCAGCCTGAGACATGCACCAGGAACAGCAGCCAAGTGCAGCCTGCCACTACTTTTGAGAGGCTCAGTCTAGAGGGGAAGCAGACGGAAAAAGTGACCATCTCCACACAGAGGACATGTGAAGATATGGGGTGAGCCAGGGGCGGGGGAAGGACAGATGAAAGGCCTCTGACGATGCTGGAAGACCTCACAGCATTTCTGGGAAGAAGAGATTCCGAAGATGAACTGTGACAGATGAACTACTGAGGTGAAGGCAAAAAGAGGTGGACGGTCACAAATCTCAGGGAGAGGACGTGCCGGAGCCTCTGGTGAGAAGGGCTCCGTGTGTTACACGTAGCTGGAATAACGGAGGGTCTGCGGGGTACGGGGAGACACAAGTAAGGTTGGTGGCTGGAGAGAGGGGCCGAGGCCGGGCCTGGAGGCCCTCATGTGATAAGCTGAGGAGTTCCAACTTTACCCAACAGGCAACGGGGAGGTAGGCATGGAGGGAAGGACGGAATCTGCTTCAGAAGGGTGCCTCCGGAACCGGGAACCAGAGGGACTGACAGAAAACAGCCTAGGTCAGACCGGCCAGCTGGGAGGCTGTGGCAACAGGCTGGCCGAGAGTGGGTGGGGCTGCTGGAGGCTGTCACTGTGGAGATGACGGGAGGCTGGGAGGAAGACACTACACCTCACAGGGACGGACTGGATGGCACGAACAGTGGGCCTGCCCAGCCTGACACCCTCATTTCTGTCTTGGCTGCCTAGGGAGATGGTGGTGCCTTATTCGATGGAGCTTAGATGAACAGCCCTATTTGAGGCCTGTGGGGCTTCCTCAGTCCTAGCAGAATGTTGGCCAGAGTTTACAGGGTGCATAGAGAGAAGGGTGTCTCTCAAGGGACGTGTGAATAAAGGAAACACCTGGTGCCTGGCCAAAAGGCCCCCCAAAGATACCCATTCCAACTCTGATGCAACAGTTACCTCTCAGAGGTCAAAAGCAAAGTCAGCCTTTGAACTGAACCCCTTAACCTCCCTGAGTCTCGTTTCCTTGCCTACAAAATGGGGACAACAGTACCTGGCACAAAGGCTGCTACATGGCTCTTAGGAGAAAACGCGCATGAGGCACCCAGCACAGACTTAGTAAGCATTCAATATATCCCTTCCCTTCAGAAAAAGCACGACCCTCATCTCCATGCTTCCTGGAAATGCAAGGCTTTGACATTTACCTGTGTTGTCTTTCACATCATAAACACTGCATTCCTGAAGATCAATAGTGGGTGATATGGGATAGAAAGTCTCAAGAACATGATTCTTAGTAGCTTCAACCTCCTCCTTGGAGGCGATGGCGGGCAGCGGATCCTTGGTATTCAGTTGGGCTCCGCTAGAACCACGGACCTGAAGGAGAAAAGACTCTAAAAGGGGAGAAAGACAATTAGTCTACCCTGGTCTAAAGCCTTACCTCAGCTCAGCCAAGTCTAGAGCCTTCACCCTGCCATGCTCAAGTCTTACCACTGTCCTAGCTGATCAGCCTAATTGCAGAAAACAAAACTTTGGTTAAATGTTAACCCGGGGATTCTTGAGAAGGGGATCGATCGATGCACTCTTCTTCCTGTGTTCCCTGGCCAACGAGCCCTGAGGCCCGGCAGGCTCTCTAGGTTAGGGCTGCCCCACACAGATGTTCCCAAGCACCTGCTCTACACTGGAGACCCAGAAATGAATGACAGTTACCCTCTGCTCTCGAGAAGCTCACCAGGTAAGGTGCATACAAAAGTATGAGCCATATTCAGAGACAGTAGAGGTGGGGAAAGCCGGCCTCCTCTCAGAGGTCTGAGAATCCTTCTGAAAGTGGTGCGCCTTCAGACTAGCTTCCGACGGATGGATAAGAGCAGAACTTCTCAACTGTGGCACTATTCTCATTTTGGACCGGATAATTCTTCGGTGAGGGAAACTGTCCTGTGCAGCATCCCTCACCCTTACCCCCTAGATGCCAGCAGACCTCCCCGCTCTTCAAGTCATGACAATCAAAAATGTCTCCAGACCTTGCCACATCTCCCTTAGAGGGCAAAACTGCCCTTGGTTAGTTAACAGTTGGCCCAGGCAAAGAAAGGGAAGGAAAAACATTTTGGTTAAGGAAGAATAACCTGTGCAAAGGCACAGAAGTGTGCTCCTCCACGGCAGAGTTTAAGGAGACAAATCCAGGTGACTAGAGCGTGCTGTGGCAGGGAGGGAGGGAGGGATGGAGGGAGGGAGAGGGACTGAGACCAGAGGCTGAGGAGAAAGGCTTTATTAAACTCTGGAAAAGGGCCAAGTTGTCTTCAACAGCTGACAGTGAAAAAACTGTGCCAGTCAGAAAGCCTCACCTAGGTCGGATCAGCGTATCTGCTACATGGAGACACAAGTTTATGAGGAAACAAACTCGCATCGGACTAATCAGCAAACCTGCCACCGTGAACATGTGCGGATGCCCTTCACGGAGGTCCCCACGGGAAGCTGCGTTGCCACCAGGCAAAATGTGCCTGAATGCCTCCCTGAGAATGGCCTCCTGAAGATTCTCCACGGAGGCAAATCTTCCTCTGCTTTGGGTTTTTAGAAACAGTCAAATCATAATGTGATGGTAACAGATCAAGGGTAATGATCTTCTATGTCTAAAAGCTGGTTTGGCCAAGAGCGCTGTCATATAATTAGCGTGTGGTCTCCCTCACTGGGTATGTAAAACAGGGATACTACATCTGTGGATGGATAAACTCTGATCTGCTTGTTAAAGTACATCATACCCACACTTCAAGAAGAGTTTCCTAAAGTATTTCCTGTTTCCTCACATATAATCTGCAAGGAAGATAAATGTGCCCGGACCTCTCCTAACCTTGGGTTTTAGATTCTCCCCACAGACCACTCTAGTGTGGTTTCCAATTCAATTCCCTCCACATCCCTCCTCCAGTGACAGCTCCAAATGGGGCAGTTTAATTAGAGGTAATACTTGATGATGGGCCAACAAGTACTCCTCTATTAATGAGGATCACTAATTTCCTTAGTGGTGCCATTACCTCTGCAAAGCTGACTCCGTGCCAGAAAGTCCATACTCAAAGGGGCAAGCTGGAGAAACCTGACCAAGTAGATGTTCTGAAAATCCCAAAATCATTCCAGAGCTGGTTTCCCTGCTCCAGAATTCCACCAATCACAACACTGGTGTGCTTTGAACATCCCCGAAACCCCTCAGCGTGGTAATCATTTGCCCATCCCTTCAGTCAGCACCTATCATGTGCCATGAACTGTTAAGACACAGCAGACAAAAATGAATAAGGCAAGGTCCCTGCCATCAGAAGTTCAGTCTAGTGGGGCAGATATTAGATATTAGAGAATTCCAATACAGTGTAATACATGCTCTAATAAAAATAGGCATGATTGGCATAAGAAGCACAGAAGAGAACTAGCTAATCTCTGCATTCACATAGGAAGGGGGCTGGGGCCTTGCAGACAAGTAGAATTTAACCAAAGGAGGAAAGTAGAAAAGAACATTCCACACAGAATGTACAGCACAGTGCAAAAGCTGTCAAAGTTTCATGCCAAAAAGCTCCAGGTGGCTGAAGTGTAAATTTGGCCCGGGGATAGGGGCGCCTGGGTGGCTCAGTCGGTTAAGCGGCTGACTTCGGCTCAGGTCACGATCTCGCGGTCCGTGAGTTCGAGCCCCACGTCGGGCTCTGTGCTGACAGCTCAGAGCCTGAGGCCTGTTTTAGATTCTGTGTCTCCCTCTCTCTGACCCTCCCCTGTTCATGCTCTGTCTCTCTGTCTCATAAATAAATAAAAAACGTTTAAAAAAAAAAATTAAAAAAAAAATTTGGCCCGGGGATGGGGCTGAAGGTGGGGGTAGCAGAGAAGGAGGTAAGACTAGAAAGACTAGGTGGTGGCCACATCACAGCGGCTCTGGATCCTATGATAAATGGTTTAAGCTCCTGGGAGACACTTAAGGATCTGAAACAGGGGAGGGAAGTGCGCTTTAGAAAGATCACTCTGGCAGCTACGTGGAAAATGGATTTGGAAAAGGAAGAAAGCATGAATGGGGTAAGAAGGCTCTTGCAATCCAGTATGAGCTTTGTGAAGGCAGAGATAGACTGTGCTTCATCACTTCTTACCTTCAACATTTAGGCACTCATGGGCACTCAATAGATAGATATGGTTGAATTAAGTCTTGGGAAGAAGTGACTAAAACCAAAAAGACTGGCCTGTGGCTAACGATAGGAGGAGGTGTCTGAGCCTACAAATTGGTCTGTGAAGGATGGAAATGAGCACAGGTATGGAGGCGGTGGTGGTGAGCTGGTAGTCAGGCTAAAAGTAGAACGATAAAATACAGACCAAGATGACTAACCTCGATTCCAGGTGGTGGAGAACGTGTAGTTTTTGGCACAGATCCGCCTGGCCAGAGAGGGATGCTTGAGAATCTGGGATTTACACAGCTGTATCAGACTGTCCACAATGACTGGGCTTGGAGGAAAGAAGAAACATTTGGAGATGTAAAGCAACAGGTTGACTCCCAAGATCCATTGACTGGAAATCTTATTGACTTGGGGGAAACTCACCAGTAGGTCTCTCTCTTGGGGGTGTCTTCAGTGGAGTGCCAAAGACGGGCGTGAAAGATCACATTCAGAATGCGTTCATCTTGGTTCTCTATGTGGTTCTTTGGATCATCAACAAGGCTAAGCACTTTCTTGGGAAGGCCTTCTATTAATTTGGCCTTGGTTAGCCACAGGGCCTGCTTTACACCTTTGGGGTAATCAGTTACAAAAACCAAAAAAACAAAAAAGGTGATTCAATAAGAATTGCTTAAGTCTGCCAATAGCATCTTAGGGAAACGTCTGTCTTGAGAGAGACAGGATTTGTACTGTGACATCTGAGGAGTCAGAACTAAAATAAGAGTGAACGCCAGGACCACCAAATTTCAACTCAACTTCAGGAATGACTGCCTATCTAAGGATGGTCAACAGTTGACTGAGGCAGTCGATGCCTGCACAGGAGGAATTCAAACAGCAGCTAAGATGGCTGGGGTCGTAAGGCTAAATCTTGCAGGAAAGTGTCTGTCTGTTGCCTGCAAGATTCAGACTCTAGACTCTGGGACTAGATCGACGGATGCCAACATTTCAAATCCTAGATCCCTTCTATTAACCCACACCAAAATCCCTGATTGGAAAAGCCCTGACAGTGGGCTGGTGACTGCTTTGGGTAGCAGGCTACTCATCCCAGATGGGAAAACACCACTGTTTCAGAGATAGATCTTCATTTAAAAGCTATGTCTGGGATTAAATGGAGCCTAGGGTACTTTGGGGGAGACACCTTCAGGCAATTTCCTTTGTGCTAATAAATGAAATGCTATAAGGGCAATGGGACTTTTCACTTTCAGCCTTGCAGGCCTTGAGAAATACAAACATTTAAAAATACAACTTCTGGATTTTGTGGTGCACCAGAAAAAGCCCTGAGTGGGAGTCAGGTAACCTGAATTTTAGTTCTGACACTGCCACTGTTTCTTAAACTTGAAAAAATTAAAAAAAAAAGACTTTTTTTTTTTAATTAAAAACATTGAGATTTGGGGGCACCTGGGTGGCTCAGTTGATTGAACATCCAACTCTTGTCAGGTCATGATCTTAAGGTCATGATATCAAGTCCCAGGATGGGCTCACTGCACTCTCCAGTGGGCATGGAGGCTGCTTAAGATTCTCTCTCCTCTCTGCCTCTGTCCCTTCCCCACTCGCTCTCTCAAAAAAAAAATAAAAAATAAAATTGAGATTTTTTATGGTTCACTAGAATACGAATAATATGTAATAATTACAGATGCCATTTACTGAGCATCACCATTTACCTGTGCCAGGTACTTTATCTACAAGTTGGATGTGATTTGATGGAATGGAGGAGATCCATCTGGAATCCATTATAGGATGGATTTTATGAAACTCAGAGACTAAGGAATTTACTTCAAGTTACACACCCCGAAAGTGATGGTGGGGAGGACAACGTGAGTCTGTCTACCCTAAAGCCTGGTAATGTTCCCGGGGTCACTCAAGGGTACCAAGTCTTGTGAGGTCCATCATAACACCTTGGTAGGGCAGTGGAAGTGTTTAGATGCTGTAAAGTCAGTTTTCAGGAATGGGTCTGATGGGCTTAAGAGACTGGCTGGTTGACTTAAGTTTTTGTCAAATCAAGGATTTATTCTCTGGCTTAGTCCGAAAATCCTGCCAGGTCTTTGTTTCTTAACTACTCCTTGGAAAATACTGCTCCCACTGAACCTGACCATTTTGTGTTTTTAGAACCAGAATCTGCACAGTAATTTGGGGACTAAGGAAGAATAGGCAAGAATACAGGCAAGAATACAGAAAGGGGGGACACATGGGTGGCTCAGTCAGTTAAGCATCCAACTCTTGATATCAGCTCAGGTCGTGATCTCCCAGTTCGTGAATTCAAGCCCTGAGTCTGGCTCTGCGCGGACAGTGAGAAGACTGGTTGGGATATTCTCTCTCTCTCTCTCTCTCTCTCTCTGCTGCC